ATCATATCTACCAAAATGCCATCAGCTTTTCTTTTTTTCTTTTTTTCGAAAATAATAATGTTCAAACCAACCTCATCTTCTACACTTATTTACGAAAATGCCATCAAGTTCAATTCACACAACAACCATTCTCAACCATATTCAAGCTTTTTAACGCTTCTTCTTCCCTTTTACACCACCAAAATCACACAATATTCTCTTATAACCTTCCTCTCTAACTTATTCTCTCCAATTTCATAACAAAAACTCTATAATCCATCTCTCAAAAATATAAGATCTTGTATGATGCCATTTGCGGTCACCAAGCTCACGGCAATGGCTGGGCTTCTCTGCTGATGGTTTAAATCGAACTAATCCGTCGTCGACGCAACCAAACAGCTCATCAAGGTGACTTTCCGTTCATTTTCGTGAATTTCAGATCTCCGGCGCGATGTAGACTTCACTACGAAGTCAACATGTCAACGTGGGGTACACTAACTGCAAACGAATTTTTAAAATTTTGGAGAAGTAGACTTCTTCAAGAAGTCTACATTATTCCTTTGACAAAAAAAAAAGGTGGACCCGATGTGTAGACTTCACTAAGAAGTCTATTCTTTAGGAGGGGTACACTAACTGCAATTGACCAGACGACGACTTTCGGGTGCTGAGGTCTACACATGAGTCTACGCATCAGGGGTATAGTTTTGCAATTGACCAAATCACGACTTTTTGAAGTAGACTTCTTTTTTAGACTGTAGACTTCACGGTGAAGTCTAGTTTGACGCGTAGACTTCTTCGTGAAGTCTACTTTGGGAGTAGACTTCATGGAGAAATCTACTTCTGCAAAAAGAAATCAACTGGTCAACGAATGAATAGTAACTCGGGGTACACCAACTGCAAACGTTGTTTTACGAAGTCTACTTTTCGTAGGAGACTTCATATTGAAGTCTACTTATCATTGTTGACTTCAGCCTGAAGTCTACTTTGAGAAAAGAAGTCTACTTCAAAAAGTCGTGATTTGGTCAATTGCAGTTAGTGTACCCCTCGACTTGTTGACTTCCATTGTAGACTTCCCAAAATATTGTTGCAGTTAGTGTACTCCTAGAGTAGACTTCCTAGTGAAGTCGTAGAAGTCTACTTTCTAACTGTATTTTAAATTTGATATTTGTGTATTATGAATAACTAATTTTTAAGATTTTCTTCGACAATAAGTTGTGTTTACCTGTCTAGTTGCTTGTGTAACACTTTGACGTGCTTAATCATTATATTTTGAAGGGAATCAAACTTTTTGTTTTTGGTGGAGTTTAGGTGAAAATGTAGTAGACTTCGTTATGATGTCGGTGAAGTCTACTTTGTTACTGTAATTTAAATTCGATATTTGTGCATTACGATCCACTAATTTTTAAGATTTTCTCAGACAATAACTTGTGTTAATCTGTTTACTGACCTGTGTATCATCTTAACGTGTTTAATCCTTATATTTTGAAGTAAATCAAAGTTCTTATTTTCGTTGGATAGTAGGTGATAAATCCACTAATAGTGTGTTATGTCTTTCTCGTCTTTTGCAGAAAATGGTTTACGTAACAGAGTGGATGACGACAAAGGGAAAGTCTTCTTACTCGATATCTAAAATAATAATGTTGTGTATTCCAATTCTTTTGCAGAAATGATGTACGTATAGCTGCTGTTTATGAAAAATGAGAGAGGAAAGACAACAGATCTTGGTATTTTGAAGTGGATGACTATAAGGGGAAAGATTGTTCTCATTAAGAGATGATTGTACTCATGATGAACTTGTTGAAATGGCAAAGGAATTATGGGATGGATAAGAATGTTGAGCTTATAGAGCAGTTTAAGTTATTTTAGCTTATATGTGTAAGTTCAAATCTAAATAAAGTTATTTTGGTTTCGGTTTTAACTATATCCAATTTGAATTGGTTCAGTTTTTAAGCTATGTTTACAGAATCTAAGAATTGCTTTTGTTTATGCAGAGAAGCAATAGACACTAATAGTTGGCAAGTGAGAAAAAAATTATTACTCATCAATATAACTTGTAATCTTATACAAGAGAATTATATAATGTTTACATCACAATAATTTTACAAGTGAGAAATTATAGAGGATTATAATAGCATATTGAGACATTGAAACCAATTGCAACTTTTTTAGCTTATAGCTTCATGTAAGCGTGACTTCGCCCCATCCTTGCGTTTCCTCTCGTCCTCTCTGTGCTTCACCTACAGTTCGTTCTTCACAGTGCTGCAGCATTTTCCTATATAGATCCGATTAGCATCAAACGATAAAACAAAATTTTTCTTGAAAACCATAGAAACTCAAGCACACAAACCATATGGAGAAAAACCTTTAATAACAAAGTCCAGGATCAATCGAATATCAGTTTCAGTTTGTTATATGAACTAACCTTGTTTGATTAAAAATATTGCACGCAAAGCATAAGTGAAAAGGTCAATAATATCTCAAAATCTCATCATTGCTGCGTTGGAATATCAGTGACAGAAGGAGGATCTCCCATTGGTTAATAGAAAATTCCCTTGGGAATTATTAGGGTATAGAGAGAGCTCACCAGCTATGGAGGCGTCTGTGAAGATTGATGGTGACAGAAGAGACTAGGGTATATAGGATCTCCCAATCGACTTGAGAAACTTGTCATAGGGGACCAAAACAAATCATCAGTGCGTAAAGCACAAATATGTGAATGGAAATAAAAACTGAGAAAAAAACCATGGTGGTGAAGTATACTGAAGAACTCTATCGTTGCTGTCTACATATCCGAAATAAAATAGAGCGGGAAATTGAAATTATTTTCTCAGTTTTTATTTCCATTCACAGATTTGTGCTTTACACACTGATTATTTGTTTTGGTCCCCTGTATACTGAGAAAAAAACAGCAACAGTAGACTTCTTTAGTATACTTCACCACCATAGGTACATTAGTAATTGTATCGCTCGATTTATTGTTTGTTTATAAAAGATAAAAAAAGTCACTAACCACCCCTTGGGGTATACCAATGGTCAAATATGTCATATGGGATATACCATTTATAAAAAAAAAAGTTTGGGTATACCAATGGTAATTCCCCCAAAGAAAAACAACTAAATACTCACATATTAGAATATATGAAGAGTCTCTTTTTATTCCCAACATAGTTAACATAGTCAGTTATTGTAAATATAACCTTTCGTTATTCAAATCAAATGAAGAATTTCTTGGGTAGGTGGAAAGTTTATATCAATGCTAGCCATGGAAGATGATCTACTGTTAAACTTACATGTTAATTTATAGAAACATTAAAAGTTTTGAATTTTAGAACTTGCCTCCATTAGCTTTCTTCTTCAATTGTGGTAGTGACGTGAGATTTTTAGATTTCCTCCAATTTTTTCGCTGATGTTCAGATCAAAGCTAGTCAACAAGTAAATTTAATACATTAAATGATGCTAATTATGCAGTGTAGAAGAACACGAGGAGATTACGACTGAGTAATTAAAAGAGATAACATGAAAAGAAATTAAGTACATTAAATCCTGCAGGTTTGGATTGGGTTTTTCTCTAGCCAGATGAAGATCAACACCAGAACTCTCTGGTCGGATCCGCCTTGGTTTCAGCTCGAATTGCAGTCCCGGCATGCTAGATCTGTGTGTCGATTAATCACAATTTGTATAAAAATTCAACCTTTTGGAACTCTATGGAATACTAGCTAACACTGGGCTACTTAATTTCTTCTTAATTTCACTTGTTCTCAGCTAATCAATGGTAAATCAATGCAAATAATTTTTCAGAAAAAGCTTGATGTTTGTGTGTCGTGAACTCGGTGAAGAAGAAGATAAAGGAAAGGAGATATTCTTATTTTCATAAAATAAAAAGAAAAAGGCAGAAAAACAAACTTAATTGTTATAAACTAATTAATTAAATAAAAGGAAGTGGACCCCACAAATGGGTCAGGTGAGAGAGAGAGGGAGGTGGCTACGAGAGAGAGGAGAGATGAGATAAGGGAGTGAATTTCTTGTATTGATTTGTATGTTTACAAGTGAGTTACACAACTCTATTTATAGTACATGAGAAATGATAAAATAATGTAGTCGGTCATATTCCTTAGGCAGCAAGTATTATAAGGATAAGCATTATCCTTTAACACTCCCCCTTGATTATCCTATATGAAGTTGCTGCGCCTCATTAAAACCTTAATGGAAAAACCCAATGGGATAAAAACCATGAAAAGGAAAAAGAGTACCGCGAAGCAAACTCCCCCTGAAAAATAGATATATCTTCTCTTCACAAATCTTGAAGACGACGCATTCCAATACTTGAACGTGCTTCTTGAACACTGTTAGTAGGAAGCGCCTTTGTGAAGAGATCAGCTGCATTGTCACTTGAGCGAACATACTGAATATCCACTTCTTGATTCTTCTCAAGTTCTTGAGTGTAGGAGAAAAATCTTGGAGGGATGTTTTGTCCTGTCGCTCTTGATGTAGCCTTCTTTGAGTTGAGTGACACATGCAGAATTGTCTTCGTATATGGTTGTTGGCTCTTTCTTTGTAGATACTCCGCTGGCTTCTTGTATATGTTGGATCAAAGATCTCAACCATACACACTCTCTATATGCTTCATGAGAGCAATGATTTCCGCATAATTTGAAGACGTTGCAACCAAAGTTTGTTTTTGGGAACGCCAGAGATCGCGGTTCCACCGTATGTGAAAACATAACCGGTTTGCGATCGAGCTTATGCGGATCAGACAAGTAGCCAGCATCTGCAAAACCAACTAAACCAACCTCGGGGTTTCTTGAATAATATAATCCAAACTCAATCGTACCTTGAAGATAACGGAATATATGTTTTATTCCGTTCCAATGTCTTCTGGTAGGCGATGAGCTGTATCTTGCAAGCAGATTAGTAGCAAAAGCTATATCTGGTCTAGTGCAATTTGCAAGATACATAAGTGCCCCGATGGCGCTCATGTAAGGTACTTCAGGACCTAACATTTCTCAGAATCTTCAATAGGTCGAAATGGATCCTTGTTAACATCAAGCGATCTATTGACCATTGACTACAGTCCGTTTATTGAGAGAGAATATTTCATTCTTCATGGCCATTTGCCATTTCTCCCAGTCCGGCCTCTTTTGGCACTCTGACACGGAAGTTGGATCTGGATCATCATTTTCATGATCGATCTCTTTAGCTACAGAAAAAGAGAACATTCCATCATCATCTATTTCACTTCTAGCCCATATTTTTCCACTTTGGGCGAAGGAGATGGAAATCTCAAATTTTTCTGTCTCTGGTTCGTCATCTTGACGAACCTCTTTATCAGGTTCTACAAGAACCTGTTCGGAAATGTCTTCAAGACATTTCGGTTCATCAGGAACCTTTACTCCACAATTCTTTTTCTTTCGGGGATATTTATCCTTTGATCCTATAGCCTCCCGCGCTTTAATTGAACCGGTTCACTTGCTCTATTCACATCAAAATGTTCATGAGGAACTTCTATTTTTGATGGAGCATTAGCAGCGGGGATATAGGACTTCGTCACCCTTTTCGTATCTGAACTCATGGCAACTGGTTAGCCAATCTTTGCATATGTATAATTTTCTGAACTTCCACCTCGCGTTGATTAGAAGGAGGATCAAGATAAGCCAAAGAGTGTGTACACCATTTGGTGATATCATTTGGTGATTCTCTCGACCCTCCCCCTAACGCAGGGAATTCATTTTCATCAAAGTGGCTATCGGCAAATCGTGCCGTAAACATATCACCAGTTGCCGGTTCAAGATACCTTATTATACTAGGGGACGAATACCCGACATATATTCCCAATCTCCTCTGTGGTCCCATTTTTGATCTCTGTGGTGGCGCTATTGGGATATAGACCGCACACCCGAATACCCGGAGATGGGATATATTTGGCATATTTCCAAATGCCAACTGTATGGGCGAAAATTTATTATAAGCACTTGGTCTCACTTGAACCAAGGCTCCCGCATGCAATATTGCATGTCCCCATACAGTGATTGGGAGTTTTGTTCTCAAGATTAACGGTCTTGCAATTAACTGCAACCGCTTTATTAATGACTCAGCCATGCCATTTTGCGTATGAACGTGCGGAACCGGATGTTCAACATCGATTCCCACAGACATACAAAAGTCATTAAAGGCTGCTGAAGTGAATTCACCAGCATTATCAAGCCTGACTTTCTTTATGGCATAATCAGGGAAATGCGCTCTCAACCTGATTATTTGGGCAATGAATCTTGCGAAAGCCATATTTCTTGTGGTCAAAAGACACACATTTGACCATCTACTAGATGCGTCAATCAATACCATAAAGTATCGAAATGGCCCGCACGGTGGGTTAATAGGCCCACATATATCACCATGTATTCTCTCTAAGAATACAGGGGATTCATTCCCAACTTTGGCTGGCGAGGGCCTAATTATGAGTTTTCCTTGAGAACATGCTTTACATGAAAACTCCCCCGATTGAAAAATCTTTTCATTTTTCAATGGGTGGCCACTCGTATTTTGCACAATTCTTCTCATCATGACTGAACCTGGGTGGCCAAGTCTTTCATGCCACACCCTAAAAGTGCTAGTAAACATCTGGTTTACTGCAACATAAGATTCAGTCATGTTGATTTTTGTGCAATATAAACCAGAGGACATCATTGGTAATTCTTCCAATGTTTGTTTCCTCTCCGTTGTAATGCAAAGATATTCAATGCCATTTTTGTTTATAGTCTCAATATGATATCCATTTTTGCGGATATCTCGGAAACTTAATAAGTTCCGGTGAGACTCGGGGAATATAGTGCATCTCGCACTTCAAATTTCGTTCCCCTTGGCAATGAAAAACTTGCACTCCCAGAGCCAAGTATTATCTTTGCACTACCGCATATAGTACTCACGCTTTCAGCGGAGTCTTTCATTTTGAGATAGGAGAAATACTTCTTATCTTTGAGTATTGTATGTGTCGTAGCACTGTCTGCTAGACAAGTATCTCCATCCTTAATCTCAAATCGTGGCACCATCAGGCCACTGAATTCTTTTGAAAACTTTAAACAGAATAACAAAATTGAAAGGCATAAATTGAAAGACAGAAATTTAGATCTGGGAGGAGACATAGTCATCAACTCCGCTACATAGAGGAGGTTTTCACCATCAACTCCGGAGGAGGATTTCCCTACCACTCCATATATATGATCTGAGGAGACATAGTCTACCATGTGATCATTTGCTCGGAGTAGGCAGAGCCTAGCTTCCCGGCTTTAATTTATTTGATCGAGGAGGCAGAGCCATCCATGACGATCAGCTCGGAGTAGGCATAGCCTAGCTTCCCGGCAGAATAGACAAAATATAATTTTAAATAAATTTGGACAGAATTTAGGCTTACCTCTGGGAATAAGATAGATCTAGACAGATCTAGGGTATAGAGGCAATCGTGCTGATAACGTGTTATAAACTAATTAATTAAATAAAAAGAAGTGGAGCCCACAAATGGGGTCAGGTGAGAGAGACAGGGAGGTGGCTACAAGAGAGAGGAGAGATGAGATAGGAGAGTGAATTTCTTGTATTGATTCGTATGTTTACAAGTGAGTTACACTTAAAAATGATAAAATAATGTAGTCGGTCATATTTCTTAGGCAGTTAGTATTATAAGGATAAGCATTATCCTTTAACATTAATATAATTAAAATGGTAAATAGCTATTATCTGTAAAAGTAAAGCAATCAATTAATAAACAAAAAATCCTTAGCTGCGCACTTTAAGTCAAAAAAATGATCCAATAGTTTCTATTTTTTTGTTGATCAAACTATTTTAACCCTTCATTTGTGTTGATCAAATTGCTTTAGTCCAAACGTTAGTCAACACAAATCAAGATTACTTTGCTAAAAGTTAACCATTGTTTTTTGTTGACTGTTTCGAACTTATTCAAAGAATCAAAATCTATCTTTATTAAATGAAAGCAGCTAATTAAAAAATAACAGGTTAAAAAAATAAAATCTGGCTTCCCCGCAATTCAATTACAAAATTCAAAGTAATTTACTTTCTAACCTTTCAACTTCAATCGTTTTCGTTTCGTCTGCTTCTTCTTCCCCTTCTCTCTGATTTGCTCCGTCGGTTGCGTCATGTCGTCATCCGATCCGCAGCATCACCGGACACCGATGCTCTGCGGTAGTAGTGATGATTCTCCTTCTGCTGGGCTTTTCGTTAGTGACAGCCGACGATGTGTCCTGGTCCGACGATATCGGCCTCAAGTCTCCTGGATGCACAAACAAGTTTCAAATGGTAATTCGATCTTCGTTCACCGGAGTTGATTGATCGATTTTTACTTTCTCCTTCCCTTTTTTGGCTCTTTACTCTCTGATTAATGCGATTCCACACACCGATTTTAAACATGTGAGCAGAGAGAGAGACCTGAATCATTTGTTGAATGAATGGTCGTTTATACAGGTTAAGGTGTTAAACTGGGTCGATGGTGTTAAAGGTGACTACTTTACTGGCTTAACTGCTCAATTTGAAGCATCGGTGCCTTCTTATGCTGATCAAAGCGTTAGGTAGCTTATTGGATTATTTATGACAAAGAAGGTTTGGGTTTTTTGGATTGAGATTTTTGTTTGTGTTTGGTAGCTTTGTATCATCTAATTTAGTTATGATTTGTTATCAGATCTTGATGAGATGGGATGTATGGAAAAGGATACATCTTTAAATGTAAGCATACCTGTCTTGATGATCTCTAAGTCAAGCGGAAATTGCTTATTGACCTGTTGATCCTCTCTCTTCTTCGCTGTGTAGTTGAGCTTCTGTTGTATGCACCAAAACGTCCTGTTGTGGACTTAACAGCAGGGTTTTGATTGCTCATGGCGGTTGGAACTGTCGTCATTGCATCACTGTGGTCAGAGCTTACAGACCCTGACCAAGCTAATGAATCTTACAGCATATTAGCAAAGGTTAGCCTTTTTTTTTCCTGCTGCTCCTTTTCTACTTCATGTCATCATGGTTTGTATGGGTGCTCACCATCTTTTTCTGCATCGGCGGCATGCAGGTAATCTTCATTGACATTCCGGTGGTTTTGACAGAATATTTAGATCAATGTGTGTGTGCTTTAACGAAACGGTTGTTGTTTTCAGGGTATGCATAACATCATTATGGCAGTTATATTGAGGTATTCTGAAATATTCGTAAATGTTTTCACTTCTCTCTCTTTCAGGTTAGCAGATCTTGACGGATATAAATTTGTGATCTGCCTGTAGAAAATGCAGAAATCTTGGTAAAAAATCTGTGAAGCACCCTCTGCTTGGGACAATGTCAGTGTTGTCGCTTTTGGTGATCATTTTTTGCTTGGCATTTGCTGTTTTCTGGTTTGTAAAACGGCACGCATCTTATTCTTGGGGTGGGCAAGAATATTTAGTTGGTTAACTTTTCAAAGGTAAATTAACATGGGAGTAGGGAGATGGGGATCGAGGGAGGAGAGGAAAGCTGATCTCTTTTTTAAAACAGCGACCAAATAGAAGGTAATGAAGGCTTATCATATCTCTCATTATTATATTTTTTGTAATTTGTTCAGTATTACGATTTCCTGTTGAATTACTCCTTCTCATGAGACTGTTTTGTTTACTTGATCAGAGATATGTAGGTTTGAAAAATATGATCTAAAGATTTCAACAGAAGTTTCTGTCTTTTCACTATTGTCTTCTTCTTCAAGCGCTGGATAAAATGGTTTTTGAAAATTGAAGAATAATATTGCTGAAGTTTTGTTTCATCAATAGCTAAAAAGATCAATAGACCATAATTAGTTACCAGCATTTGTAGTTGATCTACCCTAAATCTTTAACCTTTGTTTAGTAACTCTTACTCTCCTCATTTGCTCACTATGATTTGGTTGGAGGACGACTGGTATGTTGCATTTCTTGGTCTCCCATGTTGGAACTTTCTTCAAAGCCATATTATGTGCGTGCTCTGTCTCAGTCAATTCTCTGATAATCTCACTGCAGACAGTGGAGCAAGTCTGTCCTTGCATAACTGAATTTCCTAGCCAGCATGATTCCACATAAGTGAAACTTTCTGGGCTCTTCTGTTCTTGGCAATATGAATGTAGAAGTTACACTAAGGTGGTTCATTTCCTGTAAAGAGTTCATGCGATTTGCTCCTCAATTCAATCGTGTTTGCTGTTTGTTATATGAGAAATAGCGATTTTGAATGCATCGGACTTGAATTTGTTTTTCACAGGAGATTAAGCTGTAATCATTTTTAAGAAGTGTATGTAAAAGTGATTCCTGTGGCTTTCTTATTGTGATTCTTATGTAATGAAAGATGGGTATGTGTTCCTTTGTACAGCTTAGCTTCTTTTGTATATGTATATTTTCTATGTTGGATCCACCAATCACACAGCCCTACTTCTCAGTAAAGTGTGGGAGACATGATGTAATGATGAAAATAGTAATGCGTAAAAATATCAATGCAAGCCAGAAAGCCAACCAAGTTTAATTATCCAGTGAAAAGAGGGTCCCTGAAAAGACGATGAAAAAGACCGAAAGTTATTGAAACACGAAAATAAATTACAACTTCAAGCAAAAAAACCGAAGGGCAAAAATTGTTTCTCCCAGGTTTGAAAAGGTCAAGGCTCAAGGAAGTGGAAACTCAGACCATACGACGGGATATTTGTTTCGAAAGAAAAGTGTCACACTTTATGCAAGTTCATTTCACTCACACTGCGACCACACAAAAGCTGTTGTAAAGTATGTACATATAGATGTTGTAAAGATTCAAAGCTTTGTAAAAAAAAGTTTTCAAAGTTGCTGGAAAATTTGACACCACCGCTAAAGTTAAAGGAGATCACAGTGACCTTAAACGTCTAATTCTAAATACTTAAATCTAATTTATACTTAATCAAATTCCAAAAACGTAAGCAAAAAGTCTTGAACTCGATTTCAAAAATGTCAAGTACAACCGTTATAGCAATGATCTTTGAGCCCTTTATAACTCTTTACAAAAGAAGTAACTATAATTTGCTTCAGCTTTCCTCCACAATAGTAAAACAACATACGTGAGGAAACGAAGAAAATTGAATACAATGTAATTGGAATTTAGAAGAAAAAGCACGCTAATGAGAACACAAATAAACATGTTATGAATGAAGAATTGATTAATGACAAATAATGAAAACAAACATGCCAAAGAAATATATTAGAACAATAAGACATTATTAAGAAGTACTGAATTTAACATATGTTTACCTATAGTGTTCCTTAGAACCTCTTCTTTTTTTCATCACGATGAAAAAAAAATTAAAAGATTTAACTAAAGGAGAGTAGATTGACCATACTGTTACTCATAAATAAAAAAAAAAAAAAAAAAAAAAAAAAAAAAAAAAAAAAAAAAAAAAAAAAAAAAAAAAAAAAAAAAAAAAAAAAAAAAAGAAAAAAAAAAAAAAAAAAAAAAAAAAAAAAAAAAAAAAAAAAAAAAAAAAAAAAAAAAAAAAAAAAAAAAAAAAAAAAAAAAAAAAAAAAAAAAAAAAAAAAAAAAAAAAAAAAAAAAAAAAAAAAAAAAAAAAAAAAAAAAAAAAAAAAAAAAAAAAAAAAAAAAAAAAAAACAAAAAAAAAAAAAAAAAAAAAAAAAAAAAAAAAAAAAAAAAAAAAAAAAAAAAAAAAAAAAAAAAAAAAAAAAGAGAAAAAACATGAAAAAAGTTGATAAAAAAAAAAAAAAAAAAAAAAAAAAAAAAAAAAAAAAAAAAAAAAAAAAAAAAAAAAAAAAAAAAAAAAAAAAAAAAAAAAAAAAAAAAAAAAAAAAAAAAAAAAAAAAAAAAAAAAAAAAAAAAAAACAAAAAAAAAAAAAAAAAAAAAAAAAAAAAAAAAAAAAAGAAAAAAAAAAAAAAAAAAAAAAAAAAAAAAAAAAAAAAAAAAAAAAAAAACAAAAAAAAAAAAAAAAAAAAAAAAAAAAAAAAAAAAAAAAAAAAAAAAAAAAAAAAAACTAAAAAAAAAAAAAAAGAAAAGAAAAAAAAAAAAAAAAAAAAAAAAAAAAAAAAAAAAAAAAAAAAAAAAAAAAAAAAAAAAAAAAAAAAAAAAAAAAAAAAAAAAAAAAAAAAAAAAAAAAAAAAAAAAAAAAAAAAAAAAAAAAAAAAAAAAAAAAAAAAAAAAAAAAAAAAAAAAAAAAAAAAAAAAAAAAAAAAAAAAAAAAAAAAAAAAAAAAAAAAAAAAAAAAAAACAAAAAAAAAAAAAAAAAAAAAAAAAAAAAAAAAAAAAAACAAAAAAAAAAAAAAAAAAAAAAAAAAAAAAAAAAAAAAAAAAAAAAAACAAAAAAAAAAAAAAAAAACAAAAAGAAAAAAAAAAAAAAAAAAAAATAAAAAAAATAAAAAAAAAAAAAAAAAAAAAAAAAAAAAAAAAAAAAAAAAAAAAAAAAAAAAACAAAAAAAAAAAAAAAAAAAAAAAAAAAAAAAAAAAAAAAAACAAAAAAAAAAAAAAAAAAAAAAAAAAAAAAAAAAAAAAAAAAAAAAAAAAAAAACAAAAAATAAGAAAAAACAAAAAAAAAACAATAGAAGAATAACAATAAAAAAATTAGAAAAATATTATGTTATACTACATTGTTGAGAATGATTGATGATTTAAATCATCCTCCGTTGAAAAAAAAATCATTATCTGTATTAGTTTGATGTTCACTGGCTTGCATATATGCTCAGATTTTTGTTTCATCTTTAACAAATAAACTGGGGTGACGCACATCAGATTACTTTGACGCACATCAGATTACTTTAAGGTAGAATATAGCTTATCGATTTTTCAGCAAGTTATTCAATGGACCAGATTGATATAAAGATTAGCGAGCCTCATAATTTTGAGGTAATTTAAATTCAAAGATTTTGAGAGTTGTAACAGAGGAGATGAAGAGACTGTTGATCATGTAGCGTTAAGCGTTTATTCGTTTGTAGCGAAGATTTTGTTATCTATCCGGTTCTCATTTGGAGTGTATTGAGGTTATGTATCTGGACGTCGCAACTTTTGGTGGGTTCGATTTGCTCATGTACGTTTACTGTCCGGTTCTTAAATTATTATTGAGGTAAAGGTTAGTTGGTGACTTGGTTATTTCCGATCATAGAACTTCGACTATCAAATGCTACTATTTAACACTCTATCTTCTCCAGTCTGGTTTTCATATCTTTTTTTTGTAGGTTTAGCAACCAACTTATGTACGTTGATATGAGATTATGACATCTTCTGGGTCTAATGAATCAAGAGAACTTCGAGTTGTGTTACAAATTGAGATGCAAACGAGCATGTTTAGAAGATAGTGGAAATTTAAAAGATGGTTGACAACTTTCATATAAGCAAACTGGGAAGGTAAGTTTCAAGTTTCAACTCTCATCTTTAGACCTTTTAAATTTTATAGGCTCTCTTTCTTACTCAAGCTCAATGTCACTAATGATCAATGACAAAATAACTCTGTTTTAGGAACTGAAATGGGCTTTTAGAGAATTCGAAATTGGATAGCGGGAAAAGGCATGCGGCGATGCAGGGGAGTGGAGACAGTGTTCGGCATGTTACGTATCCGAAATTTGGAGTCTCAACAGACCTGCAGCTTGCCTCTGCCTTGAGTGATCACGTCATCAGAGCTGTCGTTTGCACCTGAGCTCACACTTTCTCTCACCGGTGAACTATTCATCTCCAATTTGCTTATGATTTGTATTTTTATCTTTGGTGATTCTCCAAAATTGTATACCTTAGACGTTGCAATGCGATTTGGTATATATGTATATGACTGAGAAAAGCAGAAAAATTTGTAAAGTTCTAAGTTTGGAGAACAAATCTGTTGACTGATGAGTTGAAATATGCAGAGAATTGGTATCTCAATGATTGATGAGTATGAGTAATTTTAGTATACACCGTTTTCCAGTTATAAACTTGTGGTTCTAGCTGCAAATTAACAGCATTAGTGTCACCTTCGATGCGATTATAAAATATATGACTTTATATTTGTTCCGTGGTGTTTTTTTACCAGTTTCATGTGAATGGTTTTCGTTGTTTTATTGTTCCGTGGCAAGTAATAGTGCAATACAAGCTTCGAGAGCGTACAAGCGTAAATTATAAGACTTTTTTACCTTGCTCAGCTACTTATGCAACTACTCCTTTTACAAACATGGTGTAAATACAAATTGAAGAAGTTATATCAAATGGATTAGAGAAAAGTGAGTATTTCTTTTGATAATTGTATCCACAAATAATAACAAACTCAGAAAATGTACACTTAATCAATAAAATATAAACATTAAAATTGTAATAGTAAATACTTAAATTTTGCTCCCAAAAAAATTAATTAATCTTTTTAACAAAATTAAATTTAATATACGTAGCGCGGGATACCATAGTAATTATACCATTAGTATATATTAGTCCCTATCATGTATCTAACTAGAAACTATGATAGGGAAAACTATTTTGGATGAGATAATATACAAAACTAATATTTTTTAAAAATTATTTTGGAAAGAAAAAGGAGATAACAAACGATGAAAGCATCATTTTATTAGCTATTTCAGGTAACTATATAGTAAACTAGAGGTACACAATAAATAATTCACTTGGAAATAGTCCAAATAACTCTTCAAAATTGTAAAAAAAAAAAAAAAAAAAAAAAAAATTAGAATATCACTTGAAGCATGGAAAAATGCATTACCAAATAACTGGTGATTTGTTCCCGATCCTCGATTAGTTGATTGCTAGAGTTTGTATTGAAACGTTAGATCAACTTTTTGTGTGATCGATGAGATAAACTCCAAAAAAATTCTATTTATTAGAAGAGTGTGTAAAATCATTAGGGTTTGGCTGATCCATGTGTTTAAATGAAACACATACGTTTTCTTTTGGTTAAAAACGTTCAAACAGATACGTTACAACTTACATGACATATAGAAGCCATTAAGATTCAATTAGAAATGAGTCCATTATTTGGTCTTTGTTTTTTTTTTTGTCAACAGCCTAAATTCCTACGACCGTACCTGGAGCGAGACCGGTGGAACTGAGTTGATGTAGTACACATTGTGAGGCTGATCCCGAGCACTCCGTGCTAGCTTGTCTACCTTCGTGTTTTCTGTTCGGGGGATGTGTGTAAGGGAGAATGTCTGGAACATCCTTCTGCATTTCTCCATTTCGTCAAGTAAAATCTCAAAAGCTGGCCACTCTGTTGGCTTGGACACCATCTTCACCAACTGAGCACAATCTGTTTGGAAATTTATCTATTGTTTGTTATGGGCTAACATACATTGCATAGCCCAAACTAGAGCCTCCAGTTCCGTCTGTAAGGGGGATAAACCCCGCCGTATATTGCTAGCTCCAACCAAGGTTGAGCCGGAGTCCGGATCGAAACTGTACCACCCAAGACCTGCCCGACATTCCGTCTCTTTCCATGCTCTATCAATCTGACACCACTCTCCCACCGGGACGTGCCCGGAGTGTGTGGAGATATCGAAGGGTAACCGTTGTATTCCAGTTTGGGCCGCAGCCCATGCTCGGGATTCTGTTAATGCAGATTCTATCACAACCAGCGGATTATGGTCATCATTTGAGAAAATCTATCAAACGTATTATAATTATGTAGAACTATCAAACGTATCGAGTGGAAGGTATTAATTTATGGGGTTTTCATGGTTATATTCTTGCCAATACATATGTTGAGTTTATAATATCCAAGGTTGGACCTTAAGTAATCCATGTATAGATCCAAATGGTCTCCAAAATAAGATCTATCGGGGTAAATTTTTGATTTATGTGTAAATATTAAGAAAACAGAAAAAAACTATAATAGAAATTCTATAAATTAATACTCGATAAATTAATAAACACGATAAATTAATAAAATATTCTGATCCTGAATTTGGACGGTGTAAAATATGACACAATTTGATAAGATAATAATATTTTTGAAACTCCTTTATAAAATATGATCCCAATAATATTATAAATTAATAATCACCATATAAAATCTTATAAAATATATATATATATATATAAATAAAATATACTAAAATATAAATTAATGTTGTTTGCTCATTTTTAAAGTTGAAATATTTGAAGCTCATATCTAGTTTTTCTTATTAGCTCACAAATTCCTTTTTTAGATGTAAGCAATTTGGAAACTGATTTTGATGAAAATGAAAAGCAATGATTTTTCATATCAAAGAACGTGTAATAAATGAAAGGTTGTGCGTTTCATATACCTCGCACACCTGAATACAATATGAAAACGAAAAGAAAAAATGAAGTTCAAACAATATGACGAGTACGAAAAAATGTAAACAATAAAGTAAATACATAAATATTGAAAAACATTGATAAAACATTTTTTTTAAGAAAAAAACAAAAAGATAAGAAAATATAGGAAAACTTCTCATTTAATATAAATAAAGTTTTAGAAGATTTTCATAATTTAAAAAGAAAAATTTAACAAAATCGATTAATTAATAACTCTATAAATTAATAAAATATCAAATTCCTGAATGTATTAATTTATAGAGTTTCAAGTGTATGAATATTGATCCAGAAAATCCTTTAAGTTATACGTTAAAACTGAACCGAGATGGTGTACATATGTATATACAGTAGAAACTCTATAAATTAATACTCGATAAATTAATAAACACGATAAATTAATAAATTTCTCTGGTCCCGAGTTGGGCCGGTGTAAAATATGACACAATTCGATAAGATAATAAGATAATAACTTTTTTTGAACTCCTATGTAAAATATGGTCCCAATAAATCATAAATTAATAATTATTTTTATTTTATATATATATACCCTAAAATATCTAACTACTAAAATATGAATCTCTCACATACCAAACATATATGGAAATTAAAAGCAAAAAAGAATTTTATATAATATGGCAAGTATGAGAAAATGTGAAGAATAAAGTAAATATAGAAATATCAGAAAAAGTTAAGAAAATATAAGTATAAAGAAACTTTTGATTTAATATTGAATTTATTTTTTGGAAAATATTTTTAGTCAAAATCTATATATTAATAACTCTATAAATTAATAAAATATCAAAGTCCCGACATTATTAATTTATAGAGTTTCTACTGTATCTATGTATTTATTTAGCATGTAAGAAAAAACATATTGCATAGCAACTTACAAAAAAGAAAAACATAAACAAAAATGACTATTATAAAAATTCTATATAGTATGTTCAAAATTTCGCTATTCGCTAATGAGTCTGTCGGTCACCAATTAGCGATTTTTCAAAAATCGCTGATAAATCGGAGATTAATTGGGGTGGAATATAATTTTTACAATATTTTCTATATATTTTAAAATTATATATGTATATAAGACATTAATATCTAAAATGAAAAATTATATGTCATACAAAAGATTATATTAAATATTTTTACCAATTCACATCTAATATGAAAAATCTTCTTATCCCTGGCGTCTATGTCTTCCATTGGTACACGCCCCTCCCTGAAAAATCTTGTGCTTTCGCTAGATTGAATCGAATCGGAAAAACAAAAATCAATTACATGAATTGAAATCCTTTGCTTATATAGGATGTTGTTGGAATTGTAGCGAAACTATCAGATTGTTGATTGATTATCTCAATGGTCATGTTCCTGAACTAAGACATTATGCACCTGGGTTCCTGTTCCCATCATTCTTGTCGTTGTATGGTTTTTTTATCTGTTTAAAGGGTGAAGAACTAAAGAAGATTGTTGAGGATTTGATAAATACATTTATACTTGTTTATTCACTGTTTAGTTACATGTTTATGTAGTGGAGTTACTTCAGATTGTTAATGGTAACGGTGTGGGGATGATTGTGAATTAGGCTGTGAGGCTTATCTGACTTAGACGTTTATGTTTGTTATAATAATGTTAGCATAATACAGAAATAAAACACAAGAGCAATCCGTGATGATGCAGAGATGTGTCACAAAAACTTGTTTATATCAAAGTACTTTTTTGGCAAATTCCAGGACTTTTGATGTTTTGTGTGTGCATTGATACTGTTGCTTCTGTATAGCTAGATAGACCTTCATACGCAGAAATAACAAGCTTCAACCATTTGTCCAAATTGTTGGTTCTGTAGATATTTGTGTTACATTGATCTTCTCCTCATGCCCATGGAAGAGTGATCGCTTACATGTTTCCTGCAGTAAATTGATATTCTTCTTATATTTGCAGGGAAGTAACTTTTGCAGAAAGTTGCAGAGTTGGTACCAAGACATCCGGAGAGAGTGAAGAAGCAGGAATCTCAGAAAGCAAAGAAACAAGAACCTCATGGTTGAGATTCTGCAGAAGCTGTGACATACTACAAATTCGATTGTTGAGCTTCATGGTTGCAGGCTCTTGCCAAGACATTAAATGTATGCAGTTAGTTTACTTGCAAGAGCAGTTTACATTTTTTTGTTTCTTAGCACCCCAATAAGATCTTCCCATTGGAGCAAAAAAATCAGAGAACTCTAAATAGAATGCAAATCATCCTTACTTAATACAACGTCCACCAGGTCCTCCAAACGTGAGAGTCTCTCTTGAAAAAGAATCTACGTACGAAAGATACATTACGTCATAACAGTCAAGATTGTCAACATGATGCCCTATCTCGTTGTAATTAATATCCTCTACTGTATAATTCGAAAGAACATATTTAAGCTGTTTCATGAAAGTTGGCCGAGTCAAATCTCCTGTCGGAAAATCTCCAGTTCCCATTGGTGGGAGTAGGGTGTCAGGCAATGTAGTTCCTGCAAGTCCACCGAAGGAAACGTCAGAAGCTCCATTTTCCATGTAAGTTTGACGTGGCCAATAGCCTATCATTATGGTTCCCATCGTAAACACCCAATTTTTTGTCACTGGATCCTGCATTACATGTAGATGTAGGTCCACATCTTTAGTTACTCATACTTGACTAAGACTTAATGGATAACAGTGTTTGATGTACCTGGGCAACAGAAAGATGGACAGTGTGTTCCCTTCCTCCTGAAACAACCAAACCAGGGTAGATTGATTTGTGAATCTGGACATAACCTCCTGGGCACAACGCATTGTAACATCCCTTTTCTTGTTTATCTGTCGACTGTAGTGCGTGTGTATATATATATATATATATATATTTTATTTTTTTGATTAAGGGAAATTTCAAAAGTACACCTTTATAGGTGTGTTAATATATAAAACCAGAGGAAAAACATCTAAACTATTATAAAACCGGAGGAACAAAAAATTACATTAATTCATTACTCAGTGATACTCACCATCCATAATGTCGTTAGTCTTGGACGGTCATCTCGATATAGTGTTGGATGCACCTATGAATCAAGCGAGAGAGGTGTTACTTTTGAAAATAAATTGAAACAATCCGATCAAAAGTGAACGTAAACTTTTTTTTTTAATTTGATTGAAATATTTTAATTTGTTAGAAATCCAGAAACTAAAACCGAATATGATTAGAAACTATTACAAAAACAATTCTGGAAAGAAAAAAAAAACTGAAATTTTCGAATATAACACTTAAGAATAAGTGTGACATTCAAAACTTTGATGAACTTTTTACTATTAAAAAAAAAAAACAACTAAGATTAGCCAACTGAGTTTGTAGTAATTTACTTACAGCCACACCGAACTCGATGCTGCTGCTCCTATTGTTTTCTTGAGCGGAAGAAATTATAATCCAAGTCTTAGTATATTGATATGGCGCCACTCGCGGCTTATAAACATCGAAAAACGCTTGTGCTCCATGCCATGTTTTTGGGGCTGTCGTATTTTCAATTACCTTGATCATTGCAGACTAGAAATAAAAACAAAATTACTCTCAAGTGTTAATATTACTCCATGTTAATGGGTGTTTGCAGCTTAATGGACTTACAATTGGTCTATACTCCGTAAGACCCCCACGATTATGTTCTAGGAGACGGCCTAAAACAAAGAAAAAAGTTGTGGCCATAATGAATTAACAAAAGAAAACTTAATATTATCTATTGTTTGCATTTGAAAATTGCCAAAAAAAATTATGTTTCTGATTCGTCTTTGTACAATTTCCAAAAAAATAAGCTTGGGAATTCGATTTCACATCCCCGCAAAAGGCTGAGAAAAAGCCAAATAAACTCGTTTTGTAGTTTTAAAATAAACAGTCCTAAAAAAACAACCTTTGATAAACAGGACTGTTGTATAATATATATCAAATTTTGTCAAGCTTTATAAAAAGTTAACTACAAGTGTTACATTAGAACTAAAAAATGACAGTTTAGGCTTAAAAACCTGAAAAGAAACATAAAATAACAAAATAAAAAAGGTTCAATGTATCACCATCAAAGTTGATTAATATAAAGCTTTTTACCTGCTTTAGTAAACTGTTGAGGATGGGTAAGATAATTGGTTAAGTTGGTTTTTGGTTTGTGAATCGGTACTTGTCCTTTAGGACATTCTTCTGATCCCTTCAGAGCAATATTTGTGATTGTGTCACCATTAGAAGTAGAGAGCATTGATAAAAGCTCTCGACTTGGTCTAGTCTACAATAAAAACGACAAAAAAACAGGTCCATTCCAACAAATTTGTTTATAATGAAAGCTTGATTTAGTATTTTTTATGGCAAATAAGTGATACCTGTATTTGGTGATCCTTTAATAGAGGGTGTTGTAATGCAGGTTGCTTGTACATAGAGACGCATTCGAACTCGGTTTCTTGGTCCTGCTGTACAATTTAACACTTTTAAATATGAGAAATTTGATAATGTGTTAGTATACGACATACTTGTTATAACTAACGTACCTGTCGTTTAGCATTACAACTGAGGCATATTATCCCTAAGGAGACTAACATCAACCAAAGAGAAGCCATTGATTTCTTTGTTTTTGTTTTTGGGAGTGTTTCTTTTCTTTTTCTATATATATATTGCATTGAGGGTATTGCATTGGTTACAAAAATAGAACATGCCACGTTCTTTAAGCCTACAAAATACAATATATGGGGAAACATATAAAAAAAAATCTCTTTCAGTAAAAACAAAATGCTCCAATAATTTCAAATTTTCGGTTTTTGTTGACCAGATTGCTTTAGGCCAAACGTTATTCAACACAAATCAAGATTATTTTGGTAAATAAAAAAGTTAACAGTTGTTTTCGATTGACGGTTTCGAACTTGTAGATTCAAAGAATCAATATAATTATACCTTTAGTAAATATTAGTACATGATAGGAAAAACGATTTTGTATGAGAAAATATACAAAAAGGGAAAAAAAAAAACTTTTATTTATTTATTTATTAGCATCATTTTAGATTTTGGAGTCATTATTTTGATGCACCCACACATTTCTCTGATTACATGTTCCCCGGCAAGGGTTTCATTTTTTCGTTATAGTGACTGAAATCAAAATGGGCGTAGAATCATATTTTCAAAAGTATGTTGTGCAATTGGACTTAATATCAAGTATTTGATTCTCTCTTTTCGTTTGGTGCTAAAAGCTTGTGCCTGAATGCTCTCATAGAGTAGCGGAAAACAAAAGAAGAAGAAACACAAGTTGGTACTACCGTGCAACAAAGTCACGCGAAAACGGCGAGAAAGAGCAATCGGAATCTGGAGTTCTTTTTTTTTTTTTTTTTTCATCATCAAATTGAAGAAGAAAATTTGGGACATAGTTTTGTGAATAAATATACAGAGAAGAAAGAAAATGTTGGAAAAGGTGTTCACAAGAGAGAGACATTCTAAGCAAGATAATTGTATATCTGAGGGTTGCTCTTGTCCCTCTCCAAGTATTCTCGATCGATCAGGCTCTCGATCCTCTTCTTCAGATCAGCCGGTTTTATCGGGAATTTGAGCTGCAAAATCACAAGAAAACATCATACGTTGCACATTTACAACAGTACTGACAACTCTCATCATCACAATAAGGGTCAAGTTACCTGTTGGAAGAGCTCAGTGATTAGAAGTGTATGGCTCAAGACTTTTCTTGTCTTCATAATTCGAACAATGGCTGCATCGATCTGTTATATAAGAGTAATGCCAAGGGAAAGTCATCTTCTCAGATCCTCTCTCGTTTCAGGAACCAAATTGTGAGAAAGATATGAAAAAAAACAGAAATCAAACCTGGTATTGTCGGTCCTGGAAAACTCTCTCTGTTGTACTCGTGTTCTCTTCTACTGTCTCTTTCATCTGGATTGCATTCACCTGCACACAGAACAAAAATTAATAGTTTGGTTTATTATATGCCACAAAAAAAAAAAGAATCAAGAGAGCTTGAAGTAAAATAAAGAATGATGTACCTTAATGCGATACAGAGGAGCTGCAAAGCTGTCATTGAAATCAAACTCATCCCCGTCCTGAACGTCTCTTCCCTTTGGATACTGAACAACATTTTACACACGATCAAAGCCACACAATCACAGTAGTTTCTGCATTAGTAAGAAATGTGAGTTAAACAGAGTCCAGAGTTGAGCCAAACCTTCTGCAGGACACGAACTTTCCCACAAGCAAGCGACTGCAAAGTCCTCCTCAGTTCCTTGTCCTCTATGCCAGTGGAGTCTTTGATGTCTTCAAAGCTAAGCCTCATTGCATCGTTAAATAACATCAACACAACAGCCTGAGACAATAAAAAGACAAACACACCTTCTAAGCAATGGATTCACAAGTAAAAGTAAAAGCTTGAAAAAGAAAAGAAAACAAGAGAGAATTGGACTGACCTGAAACAGGGAAACAGCAAGCTCCTTTTTACCTTTGGAGAAATCTGCCTTCAAAACACAGTGACCTAATGAATTTTGCCACATTAACCTCCTGCCACTGTACTTGCTTAAATAGAACTCTTTAAAGATATCCTACGATTAACAAACATATAAATTTTTTTAAAAAAGCTTGTAAGATAAAACTCGTTGCGCGGAAAGGAAAATTATATGAGAACTTCAAGTAAAACCTGATAGACATTTAATTCATGAGGAAGTTTAACATCCATAGGTGGATATGTTGGCCAGTACCTGCATTATGAATGGAAGGTTTAACAAGCTTTATAAATACGTCATGCTATCTGGTATAAAACCTGAATATATGTGATGCATAGTACATACCCCGTTGTTAAAACGTGGACACTCATCTCAATTCCTGATGGCAGTTTTGTTCTGGCCTGGGACGATTGTTTGAACGACTCATTGATTTCCTTGGACAATTCAATATCCTGGCAAAAATTTCAAGGAAACAGGTCATTAATTGTAGTACAGGCACAAACTTCCTTAAAGTAGGAGGCATGTTGCAAGATCATCCAACAATCTTGTCTAAGACTAGACTAGTAGTACCGACTATTAAACACCCTGACTTGGGATCCTTTTGTTTGTTCCTTTACTAAAACTCAAAGACCAACATACTAAGAAAAAAAAAGAAAGAAGGAGAAAGAAAGAGGACCTTGAACATTCCTTCGAGTTTGTTTGTAAACTGGCTACCACACTCGGTCTTAAGCTGTAGGTGTCACCAAGGTTGGGTAAGTGGATACGAACTTACCGATATTGAAAAAAATTCAGCGAGAAAGAGATACAGCCAGAAAATTAAATCAGTTTTTCTACCTTAGAGATCATGGATTTCTCAGCATCAATTGACGCACTCTTTCCCAACAGGAGTCTCTTTGCAAGATCCTTTTTGTAGAATGCTTCGAACACATCTTTACCCTTTGATCATAAAAAAAAATAGAAATCCTTCAGCAAAACTGAATCTAGATGATCATATAGCAGGTTTACGGACCATGCCATGGCCTGAAGGCAGTTATCTAACAGAAAAAAAACAGTAGTAGATAAGAAGAATCAGAAATAACCTGGATAAATCTGAACAACACCAAGACTTTTTCAAGGGTGCTCTCTAATTCTTCCTCAGAAGTACCCTTATTCCCAGCACGGAGCTTCTCGTCCAAAAATTTGGCGATAAGTTCAGCTGGCCGGTTCTGCAAAACAGACAACAAGTATAAATACTAGCCACACTACTGTAATAAGGTCCGGAGCCCAAAAAAGAAGTCAGTTATCGAAATTATGTTTGATAATCATACAGTGCCAAAAAGGTTTCAGGAAGATTTATAGCAATATAGTACAACTCCAGATAGTAAGTTCACAATTGCACCATTGTCATTATGAGGATGACTTTTCCACAATAATCAGCATGTCGTTAATATGAAAGTAAAATTATTAGCAAAAGATTATGCAATAACCAAGAAAATAAACATTTAATACCTGGCGAAGATTTATCAGATGCTCAAATGAATCTTTGATAGTGTTGCCAAATGATTCATTCTTGCAAAAGCTCTCTTCCCATACTATGTCAAGAGAAGCCTTGAAGTCCAATAGTGATTGTACCATATCTTTATCTTTCTCTTCATCCATAACGATCTTCTGACCAGTTTTGCGGATGTAGGAACTTAGCGCCTGCCTCAGAGGCTCTAGTGCATTGACCCTTAAAAACAGGGTGTACATCCTCTGGAGGTCCTCGGTACGGCGTCCATCCATTAATGGTGTGAAGCCCTGGGGAATATTCAGAGGTAAATAAGCTTGCAGAAAACCCAAATTTGCTAACCACAAGGATGACAAAAGAGTTAAACCTTATCGAGAACAGCAAGTATATGAAGCTCGAGAAGTTGCTTTTCAATAGTTGCTATCAGTGGTTTCCTGGTTGCTGCATCAATGTACAGTATGCATCTTTCATTCTCTTCATGCAACCTTCCCTGCACCAACCACCAGTAAAAACATTTGAGAGACCAGATAAATATATACGGCAGCTTATGATAAGGAGAAAACATAGGAAGTCATGCAAAGCACCTCGACATGCTTCAGGTATTCGGGAACGTCGGACTGCTGCATGTATTTCATTCCTTCAGCGGCATAAAATTCAGAAGTGCATTCTAGGAACGGTTTCTCAAAGCTTTCCGTATATATTCCCAGTGAAGTGAACATCTTTAAGAGATGACTTAGTAGAGTTCTATTGACAGCTTCGGCTAATCTGCAGGACCAATGTCACGCAAAAAAAGGTCAGTAGATTCCGGTGAAAACATTATCCAATACATTAATCCTTATAATATTGAGTTACAAAAGAAATGACTTATAATAACGCTCTCTTGAGCTTTTACATATGACTACTTATTATTGCTAGTGATTCACTCAGACGTAAGTTAACAGGTAAAGAAGATAACTTCCCAATGTGACAAATAAACCTTGCTTCTCATATTTTTGAAATCCCAGAATTATAACAAGATTACCTTTCCTTTTCAATCATTCTTAAGAGAGCAGTAACAGTCCTCTGCTCAACGTCAGGGGACAGAGAAAGATGCTTCCGGAAAAGCTGCAGCCCCATCTCCCACAATGAACGTACATTTGGGTTTTGTATCACATACTTCCTATCCAGAGACAAGGCTATACTACGGATCATAAGCATCTGGTCACAAAAATCCTGCCAGCAATTCTCAACTAGTGACAAGAAGACAGACAGATCAGTGTCTTGCCCAACTAAAGATTGTAAAGCCGCAGAGATGTGTTCTTCACACTCCTTCTCAATCCGTTCGTAAAGCTTTCCTTCCAGCTTATGCAAGCAGAGGTTTTCAACAGCCTGACAAAACAATCAACATTACTTTCATCAAGCAAGACATTTTTACGTACGAGAAGAAGAGCTTGATAATAGAAAGCTACAAAATTTTACAAGTAACGTTACCTGGTAAAGCCCCTCAAGGTCAAAGGAAACAGGCTTTTTCAGGAATATAGCTCTGATAGCTGACTGTAGCTTTTCCCAAGTAGTCTCCTCAAAGTTTGTTGGTAACGTTGGTTTGGCTTCACACACAAATTAATAAATTGTACAATCAGAAACCTTTATATGATGAAAATGGTGTTATCCACATACTTCCAGAAATAATGATTCTCTATATCAAAAGAAAGCTAATTCTCAAGATGTTTCTAGTGGCAAACCAAGCTTCATTGAGAAAGAAGACAATTCGATTGTACATAACAAAGATCCCGGATCTTCAATTCCCAGATCGGCTAAACAAACATTCAGAAACACAAAATCAACAGTACGGCTCGATTTAAAGTGAATTCCGCTACAATTTAATAGCGAAACCCACAGAAATTTCATCAATTTCAAGTAACCATCCAGCAAGTCTATCAAAAAACCCTAAAATCGAGAAACCTATGCTAAAATTCAATTGATACAGAGAGTCATCTTCCGATCAAATCAAAGCATCAATTTTACAAACTACCCAAACAAAATTCCACGACTAATTGGAAAAAACCTAAAGGAAAATCCCGGTTACGATCGAAATCGGAAATGAGAGAAATCGGGGGAAAACCTTTATTGAGCTTGATGACCAACTTCTTAGTAGGCTGAGGGAGTGTAGCTTTCTTCCGGGAGAGATTGGCGGCGGCGGGAGTTGGATCTTCCTCCATGGGGAAGCCAACCTTGTCGGCGGCGTTAGGCTGGTGCGAGGAGGGGTGGTGGAGGCCGTTTTTGGCCTTTTTCATGGGCGGAGAAGAGAAGGAAGAGTCGGCGGAGGCAGAGGAAGCGGCGGAGCAAGTAGAGCGTTTGGTTGGAAGAGACATGAAAGAAAGGGAAGAGAGAAGGGTGAAATCAAGAGGATGAAGAAGACATGTCCCAATTAGCCTTAACCCTTTCAAACAAACAAAAAAACACTGTGCTCTCTTTCTCTCTCTCTCCCTCAGACCTACGCGATATTCCCGAAATTAGACCGAGAAAATGGAGATTATTTTATTTTCTTTATTTGATTGTTAATATTATTATTAATGACCGTTTTTTAATAAATTTCCATACTAAGTTAATAGTATTTTTTTTACCAATATAAAATTAAATATTAAATATATGGGGAAGTGGTAATAAAGATTCAACGAGAATGGAAATGGACCTTCGAGATCTTGTTTCGAAGTCATTCCTACATGTTATTGTTATCTTCCTTTTTCTAATTGGGAGGATACGCATTCCTTACGGCGGGTTGGGGGTTTCTTATGCTTTGCCCAAATTCGCCGCTTCAATCTCCGACATGGACTTTATGGCCGTGACCGATGACAAAACGACTATCCCATGGTGGCATCTATGGACGAATGATTATCAGGTCACTGTGAAATCATTTCTCCGTAAATCAACCTACCTAATTGCGTTGAATCCATATTCAAGCGGTAGGGAACAAATCTTAACCGCTTTGCTTTGGAAACAGTTACCATGTGATGGAAGCCACCATGGGATGGTCGTAGGGTAAGAGTCGGAGATGATGAAGGATCCCAACTTTGGGATCTGGTCATGGTGATGCAACCACAAAGGTATTCGGCGTTTATAGAGATTACAATTCAACAACTTTACTGGCTTTCCACCCCACAGGTGTTAACCAATACTGAAGATGCACTTTCTTTGTTGTACGGCGATGTTCTTAGAATCGTTGAGAATTGGCAGTTCCAATATTTATTTCTTTCAATAGAATCAGTAAATTGGATTCTTAATGATAGAACATCTATAGATCTGAATTGGAGTCTGGCCAATGTTATACAACAAAGAAGCTACTGTATACACGTTTTTGTTGCGACGAAGATTCGCACTAACGAAGTTCAAGACTTGATGTCCACTTATCAAGCAAAGCAGTTCAGGAAAAAGCACCTTCAAACCTTCATTGTTTGTTTTTATTGTTTTCTCATACCTTTAGTTTTACTTTTGGTTGTATTTGTAATATATACTCTCTGTGTACTCTTATTTTTATATAAATAAAATACAATAGATGTTAAAAAAATATATATATATATGTTCCAGTTGATATATAAAATGTATATATAAATTATATAAACTTATACAAAAATTAGAATGTTTGTTTTTTAATTAAAATTTGTTGGAACTTTTATCTATTGTTTTTCATCATTGCATCAAAATATTTATGATCTGTCTTTACGTAACAGACCTTTCTTTTAATAAATTCTACATCGGGAAATTTTCAAAACTACACATTTTTAGGTGCCAATTTTTAAAAATACACCTCTATGGTGTTTATTTTCAAAACTACACTTTTTTCATTAAGTAAAATATAAACTTTAAACCCTAAAATATAAACTCTAAACCCTAAAATTTAACCTTAAACCCTTAAATCTAAACCCTAGTCTAGAATTAGTGAATCCAAACATATATATTAAAATTTGGAAAAAGTGTATTTTTGAAAATTGTCACATTATAGATATAGTTTTGAAAATTTACGTATTTCATAAAATTTCTCTTATCTCTATATGATCGGCTCTAATTTTTTGAATTCATCATCAACATTAAAATAATATTCAGAGTATTAGTATAAGCTTTGAACTTTTTATAATTCCGGTAAAAATGCAGTGATGTTGATATGGAGATTAAATATTAGATGAATTTGAAAATGCAGTTTTGAAATTTCCCCTTCATGAAATGTATTTTATTAGAGAAATGTATTTTATTGATAATATGCTCGATGTTGGTCCTGAAACTTTACATTTATTGGTGTCTGAATTTTGGCACATATCGTAATCTTTATTGCTACAGTAGAAACTCTATAAATTAATACTCGATAAATTAATAAACACGATAAATTAATAAATTTCTCTGGTCCCGAGTTGGGCCGGTGTAAAATATGACACAATTCGATAAGATAATAAGATAATAACTTTTTTTGAACTCCTATGTAAAATATGGTCCCAATAAAATCATAAATTAATAATTATTTTTATTTATATATATATACACCTAAAATATCTAACTACTAAAATATGAATCTCTCACATACCAAACATATATGGAAATTAAAAGCAAAAAAAGAATTTTATATAATATGGCAAGTATGAGAAAATGTGAAGAATAAAGTAAATATAGAAACATTAGAAAAAAATTAAGAAAATATATGTATAAAGGAAACTTATGATTTAATATTGAATTTTATTTTTTGAAAATATTTTTAGTCAAAATCTATATATTAATAACTCTATAAATTAATAAAATATCAAAGTCCCGACATTATTAATTTATAGAGTTTCTACTGTATATCATGTGGAAAGTTGAAGAAAATCTCATCGTTCTGTTTTTGTAATTATATTCTCACACCATAATAAAATAGAAGTACTTCACAAAATTTAGAAATAGCGATATTAATTATTTTTAATAAAAAATATTTATCGCTTAGTAACGCTTTGCCATAAAAAGCTGCTAAAGTTTCTAACTTTCAGTTCATTTCATCTGCACAGACTCAAATGAAGATCCTCCTTCAATACAAAAGAACAAAAATAAAATGAATATTAAATGATAAATCTCTCTTTCTCCGATGGGACAATTCATCAGAACCACCGTGTCTCCGTCGCTCTATGTCCGATCAAAGCTCCTCTGTTTCTCACTTCTCTACTTATTCACCACACTTTTTCTTTTCCTCTACGTTTCTCTCTCAAGAAACCAATGTGTGTTTCGATATTCACCGTTCGATCCGATCCAAACAAAGCTCTTCTCTTATCCTTCTTCTTATGGTGAACACAAATACGCTCTTCCCACTCATAGATCTTCTTGTTCTTCCCCTGTTTTCTTCTCAGGTAAATAAACAAAAAAAAAAACCATTTGATTTCTTCATTTTGATCTTTCTGAGAACCTTTAAAATGACAATTTTCAAATATTTACAACAAAAAAATATGGAGCGAATCAATTACTGTTTTGGTTTCGTTCTTACATTTCTTCAAATTTTGTTTTTCTCTGTGTAATGATATGGAAGTGATATTTGTTGTTTTATGTGAATCAGATTACTGGACAGTGTTGAAGGAGATACAAAGTCTCTGTAGCGACTCATCATCGCCGGAGAATTTGAGTTACATTAATGGAAAAAGTGAAACATTTGGTGGAAATTTCAGTACCCAAAAGAGATTTTCTTATTTCAATCATTCGGAAAACGACGTCCAAGTTCCATGTGGCTTCTTCAGAGAATTTCCGATCAGCAACTCCGGTGAGATTATCGTCATTTCAGCAATTTACCGGTTTATGAATTGTAGCTAGTTAATCCAACATATCGATCATGTTTAATTTAATCTAGTCAAAACTCAAAACACCATGAGAAAAAACAGGATCATAACTGTATAATTAATTAATTATAGTTGATTTTTTTGAATGATTCTAATTAATGTTTCATTACACATTTATAAAAGTTTAAAATCATTCATGTAACGCTTGTTTGCATTTGCTGACATAGCTGTCACATTTAAGACCCTAAACGATTAATAGACAGTGACAAGTTCACTAACATCACTTGTTTATTAATTTATTTCTGTTTTCTTTTGTTAAGCATAATATGTTTTGATTTATTTTTAAATTTCTCTGATTCGGTAGATAGAGCTGAGATGGAAAAATGTGGACTAGTAGTTGCATCAGCCATTTTTAACGACCATGACAAAATCAGACAACCAGTGGGACTCGGAGTTAAAACCCTAGAAGCCGTTTGCTTCTACATGTTCATCGACGATAAAACCCTAAACTCTCTCTTACACCACAATGTCATCCCTAAAAACAATCCAGGAGACTATAGAGTCGGTGCATGGAGGATCATCAAAACCACAAAATCCGAAAACCTATACCTTAATCCGGCTATGAACGGGGTCATACCAAAGTATCTAATACATAGATTGTTCCCAAACTCAAAGTTTAGTATATGGGTCGACGCAAAAATCCAGCTCATGATCGATCCGCTACTTCTGATCCATTCGATGTTAGTGGTTCCTGATGCTGATATAGCCATCTCTAAACATCCGTTTTTTGTAAATACAATGGAGGAGGCTATGGCTACTGCGAGGTGGAAGAAATGGGGAGATGTCGACGGGCTAAGGATGCAGATGGAGACTTATTGTGAGCATGGTTTGAAGCCTTGGAGTTCTCATAAGTTGCCATACCCAACAGGTAAGAAACAAATCTTCCCAAAATCATAACGAACAAGCTTTATTTTTTAAAAAATGGTTAATTAATCATATATTAATGGTCTTTTCCCCTACTTAGTAAGGTTAGGTAAGGGTTCTTTACAAAAGAATATGTTAGAGTAATCTCAAAGTATTAATTGTTAGTTTGTACATATATATACGCATAATTAATTAGATAGTGGAGTCAATTCTACAAGCTTATGATGAAAATCAATTTCTAATTAACATTGGTACGATCTTTGGCTTTAACTTTGTTTTTTTATGAGGTTGTTTTTTATTAAAAACAAGTGAGTTTTAAACATGAAGTGTAGATTTTGTATCTATTAACCCTAAAAAAAATAATCAAAAACTTAAAATAAGTTTCTTTCAAATAACTCCTTCTTTATATACAAAAAGTTTGGTCTAGGGTTGATTTTATGTATAATATATACTTCGAGTCTCTATTCTTAAGGGTAAAATATATTTTTTGATTTTATGTAAAATATAACAAGTTTAAGTTAAAACATCTTTAGAAAAACATATATATTCCTTTCTTTGTCTAGAATGTTGGTGTGGACTCTTATTACTTTGCAATAAAGACTAAAGAGTCATGTCTTAAGCATGAAGATTGGCTCTAGTTGGTTAGGTAGGTTATGCTCTTTTTACTTGTGGCTTTTCTAAATTCAAGTCACGGGTAATCATGAAAAACATACTTTCAGTGATTTAAGTTGTAGAGAGGTAGCTTGATCCTTTAGTGACTGATCGAGTATTTATTTATCATGTGTACGTAGCTGATAAAAGAAAGGGTCTCAGGAATATATGCAAAAGAAGAAAGTAAAATTACGACACACAACAAAATCTAGTGTTCTTGCTTAACTTATAGCTGTGTATTTTGTTTTTGTTTGTTTGTTTGCTGGATATATTCTTTTATAAATAAAATAAAATCATAGTTGCAATCAAAGAATCACGACGTGGTCCCATATAAAACATCAGTGGGCTTATGAGCTAGAGAAAGAAATGTTATAAGATCAAGTCAGGGTCCCAAAAGCAAGTTGTCCCATGGTTTTGGTCTACGTCATCTAAATTAACAGAGATGAAAATGGAGTTACCAAAATTCGCTTTTCTTACATGTGGATGATACTTCCTAGTATCTATCATTATTATTATGTTCTTAAGAAATCTAAATTTTCATGTTAACTGTAGTGGCTAATGCAATTAATCTAATCTCAATTTATTTGTTTATCTTTCGTATTTTTTGGTGACACTTGTTTATACTTTATTTGATTTTAGATGTACCAGATAGTGCGTTAATACTGAGAAGGCACGGAGTAAGAAGCAACCTATTCTCGTGCTTCATGTTCAACGAGTTAGAAGCGTTTAACCCGCGAGACCAATTGGCATTTGCGTTTGTGAGGGATCACATAAACCCTAAGGTTAAGATGAACATGTTTGAGGTCGAAGTGTTTGAACAAGTAGTTGTTGAATATAGACACAATCTCAAGAAGACTGAGACATCTCCATACGAGGAACAAGAAGACGAGCAAAAACAAAAATCGTTAAGGACGAGACAGAAGGAAAAAAGATGGTTAGATCATGAATCTTGGTCTCTCAATAGTAGTAGTTGTAGGAGTTATCTCATGGAGATGTGGGGGTGAATTTCATCATTCATTTTATTAATTTTATATTTGATATTTAATACTGTTAATATTTTTTTTTTACTAAAGGCTTTAATCTATAAATAATAGCAATCTGTTTAAATGCATTTTGTGTTTGTACATTTTCATTTTTAACCGTTCGCCTGTTCATCTAAAATATTCTGTCTTTTCATGTTGCATCTTTTCACTTATAACCACCTTACTTGACGAACAGTTGCAACTTTTAATAATGATGTTTTTTCACTTCTATATATATATTGTTTAGTACATCTTTTCATTCTTCAATTTAATTTTTCCATTTTTTTCAACTTGTATTTTGATAAAAAAAACTCTTTCGGAGTCTTCACCATATTTGCTTCTATGTCGTATTTGAAAAATGAAAACCATATTCACAAACTTGTAACTTTATAATTCTCCTCGCCCTCCATTATTTTCATGGGGATCAAAAACAACATCCCCACGTGGAACCATTGCAACTCTTGAAATTATTCCCCATGTTTTTTTAAACAGTAGCCATTTTGTTGGAAAATCGCATGTTTTCATTTCAATTCTTTTTGTCAGAAATTTCAATTAAAATTTATAACTATATAATAATTATGTAAAATGCTTCAAAAGGCTGTGTTTTTATCATCATATTGTGTTCTCGTAATTTTCATATCGTACATTCTTACATATAACCATTTTGAATACTCCAGAAAAAATGCTTCAAAACATATTCATAACTCTTTTTAATTTCTCTTAAGATATCTTTATTTAGAAGATCGTTTAGAGAACTACATCCCTTTATCATAACTCTTTCATTTATTTTCATTTATTATTAACTTTTAATAATCCTAGAAACTATTTTGGATGGATTTACCTGCTTTTAAAACGACTAGGTTGGAACCCGCGCTCCGCTGCGGGAGACTTTCATTGTAATTTTTCTCGTGTTTTAAATAATTAATTATAAATATTATATTCTGATATTTTAATTCAATCTCCATTATATAATTTTTCTATTAAACAAAAATGGTTTTACTAAACATAGAGTCTGGGCCGAAAAAAAGTTGTTATAGACACTGGCATTTCAACGGTGTTTGGAAACCACTAGAATTAGACCCACGCTGCGCGCGGAGGTAGGTTTTTAGTTGTTTCAACTTATTTTTCATTGTTGACAAAAAAAAAACTTATTTTTTTTATTTAATCTTGGTCATTATCTAACCAATTTGTCAAATATATGTGAAAAAAAAAACAGTTTGGACCTACATCCGACTGCTTTTCTGTATGAAGAACAGTTTTCCTCTTCGTTTCACTTTTAGGCTTAATCGTTAACATTGCACATTCTTCATAAGTCAAATTTTTGTTATCACTTGTATTTGAATATTTTGCAACCATTTTGTATAACATATTTTTTCCAAATATGTAAATATCTATATTGCTCTTCTTAATTTATTGTCAATCCCATATTTTTCTCATGAAATTACATCATCATACTTCTTGGGTTTTGATTTTACAAGATGAAAATGTTAAAAAGGGAAGAAGAAGATGAAGAAGAAGATGAGAGTTTTCTTCACTTCGATCAAGAGCAACATCACGGAACTGTCTCATCTATAGCACTTCTCCAAGAGTGGCTCTTGCGTTGTTGAGAGCATTGTTGCTTCCCAACTGTTTCCCCAATGCGTTCTCTACTCCTGCCATCACTAGCACGATCCTAATCGCTCCTCCAGCAATCACACCAGTTCGTGGTGAAGTCGGTCTAAGCATCACCTTGGCTGCTCAATCACCCTCTGCCTTGTTAACCAAAACCCAGATCTTAGCTCATAGCTAATGGAGATCTTCCTATCAAACCAACTGATTCTTCTAAATGTTTGTTCACAACGCATAAGATAAGAATTTTGAGTAAACAAATCCTACCTAAGCTAAAAGCTGAAAAACAGAGGATTTGGTCTAACATATTCAGAAGCATGCTTGAGTAAACGGTGCAGAGTGGATTGGACCTGTCTTTGTTTGCTCATTCCTTTGGCGTTTAATGCTACAAACTCTCCAGTAACAGAGAGACAATCAGCTACAAGAAGAAGATGTTCTTGTCGAATCGTCTTACCGTATCTGAAACTAATCAAAAACAAAAAGCTGCATTTTTCTGAAACAGAAAAAAAAAAAGATTTTTCGTCATCTTTCAAACCGATTTGCTGATGGACTACACCTTGGATTTGAGAACGGACATAATATCTGGAAAGCTGGATTCTAGATCTTCAAAACCGTATGAAGATTGACTACTGGTTCCTTACTGATCGTTAAGAAATATCTTCACAAAACCATGAGTAGAAACTGGAAATATGAAAGCTTCAATTTGACATATTTAACTTCTCAAAACCATACTCCTTCATAGCCACTTCCATTTTATCCCTTGTTATGAACCTATCGTATAAACAAGCCATTCACATTGATGTCTGATCTTAGCGTTAAACAATTTACCTCACTTAATACTTGAGTCTTTGATTCTCTTGGCAAAAAATTAAGATCGACGGAGATTGATTCATTTTTTTTTTTTTTTTTTTTAGTAGCATAATTACTAATTAGCTGCAAATTAAAGAGGATCAAGATGTCTGGATAAACTCAAACCAAGTGTGAAGGAAACTCTCATTAGAATTGGAGCGAAGAGAAGGAGTCGTAGAGGTAAATTGAAATGCTCTGTCAAGCCCCGCAAGCTTTGCTCGCAATGTAAGGTTTATTTCCTTCGTCAAAGTGTGGGAGGTCTTTGAGGAAGGAGAATGAAGTCTTACATTGCGCTCTGACCATAGGAAGTAAACCACAGCTTGTGCAATAAGCTTGCAAATAGTCTTCAGATTAGGTGAATTAAAAGAAGCACAAACCCATGAGATAGTGCCATCGAGATCCGTTGGAGGGATTAAGGACCCGTGGGAGAAGAAAGAGTTCCACACTGTCTGGGAATAAGTGCAACGGAAGAAGAGATGATCCCTTGATTCAATAGATGACCCGCAAAGGAGGCATTCCTCTGGTACCCTCAAGCCCCAAGATCTCATCCTATCCCTAGTGACTAGCCGGTTCTGAACAGTCAGCCAAAAGATAAAGGCATGTTTCGGAATATGGTTTTTAAACCAAACTGAATTATACCAAGAAACCGTGGGAGGAGAAGGGTGAAGTGAATTCCATGCTCTCGCCATTGAAAACTTCCCCGGTGGCGAATTTTGATCATTTTTCCACAAGTAAATATCCGGAATGGCCTCTTCACTAAGAACCAGAGGAGGCGGGAGACAATTTCTCAAAAGAACCAGAATCGGATTTCTCCCTCTAGGCAGGGACCAAGCTCCATTAGCTAAGGCTTGAGAAACCGTGGCAGAACGCGGAATACCTACTATTCGCGGACCATTGGCTCCGGTGATTTCTATTAAAGGGCCGAGATTCGTCCAATCATCAATCCAAAATAAGGCCGACTTTCCTGAGACCACTTGACAGAAAAGGTATGGGCGAGCTAACTCCCGAAGCTTCATTAGTCTTCTCCAAATCCAGCTTCCAATAGCTCGGAAATCAAAAGACCAAAAGTCTCTGTGTTTAATTACCCAGGCTCTGATCCAAGCAACCCAGAGCGATCCTTGTTCAACAAAAAGCATCCAAATGAGTTTAAGCCCAAAGATTTGATTCACGTGGATTAATCTTTTCAAACCCAACCCTCCTGACTTCTTAGACGAGCAAGCTGCTTCCCACGACACCTTTGCTCCTTTTGCCGAATTTGAAGTTCCACTCCATAAAAATGCATTAAGCATCTTCTCAATAACTTCCATACACCTCTTTGGAAGAGGGAAAACAGATGCCCAGAAATTGATAATCCCATTCAAAACCGATTTAATCAACTGCAATCTTCCGGCAAAAGATAGAGGTCTAACCATCCAAGAGCCGATTCTGGATTTCACCCTATCAAGAAGCGGCTGACAGTCTTGGAGAGAAAGCTTTTTAGGCAGTAAAGGAAGTCCCAAATATCTCACCGGCAAGGATCCTTGTCGAATACCAAACTTATTAGCTAGGTCCTGAGTGAATTGAAAATCTGCTCCATCAAGGAAAAGGGAAGTTTTTCTCAGACTCAGGGTTAAACCAGAAATCTTCTGAAAGTCTCTTAAAATATCCACAATTCCTTCCAACGACTCTTCCTTGCCATCAAAGAAAACCAGAAGATCGTCGGCAAAGCTTAGGTGAGTGATGAGAGGATCGAGGCAAATCGGATGAGGTCCAAAACGTCCAGATAAAGCTCCTTCATCAAGAGATTTGGAGAGAACATCCATAGCCAAGACAAATAAAGAGGATGAGATAGGATCACCTTGTCTCAACCCTTTTTTTCCTGGGAAAAAACCCACAAGCTCCCCATTAAGCGCAACAGAGTAGTGGGGAGAAGTAATACAAGACCTGATCCATGAGATGAACTTTTGAGGAAGATGAAGGGCTTCCAAAATATTAACCATGAAATCCCAGTTGACATTATCATACGCCTTTGTAATATCAATTTGCAAACATCCTCTTGTTATCGGTCCCGGCTTATGAAAATCAGTTACCAACTCTGAAGCAAGCAACACGTTCTCGCACAGTAACCTCCCATTAACGAATCCCACTTGGTTTCTCTGAACCGCATTGACTGTTACAAGCTTTAAACGAGATGCCAGGATTTTCGAAATCACCTTGTAGACTGTATTACATAAGGAAATTGGACGAAAGTCAGAGAGAGTTGACGCTCCTGGAATTTTTGGTATGAGGGATATCACTGTGGAGTTAACTTGTCTTGAGAGAGATCCATTGACAAAGAAGAATTTGACTGCCTCAATCAGGTCTCTGCCTACCAAATCCCATGACGTTGTAAAGAACTCTACTGTAAAGCCGTCTGGTCCCGGAGCTTTATTTTTGGGTAGAGAAAAAACCGTTTCCTTGATTTCTAAATTACCCTTTCTTATCTTTATCGAAGTACTTGAATGCTTTGTACAAAAGTTCATCTTGATCCAATGCATTGTCACAGACATGAACTCCATGTACTCTAGTGTTCCATTACCAATACCAACCGCATCAGCCTAAAAAACTTAATCATTTGTGTATCAGACTCTCTTTCTGAGAACAACATATGCAGGTAAAACCATAAAAGAGAGGGTGGGTACTGATACTTACGGGAAGAAAGGCGGATTCGACGATATTCGCATGAATTCACCAGCTTAAACGCTGTCGTCTAGCTCCGCCGTCGATCTCACCGAGGCAAAAGAAGTGGTCCACCAACGAACCTCTCACTCTTCTTACAAAAAAGGGATCCGAAGTCTCTACTTTTTCTTATTGGGAAAGCCCCACCACCGGATTGATGAAAAATGGTTTGATTTTTCCTGGGAAATCGATGAAAGCTTTGGATCGCCATGGAGCAGCCAAATCGGCGGGGAAGAGCGAAGGAGAAGAGAGAGGGAGGAGAGAGAACCGCTCGTGAAAAATGAGTATATTTTCTTCTCATTAACCACGCTTCTCATGCTCAATTAGTCGTCAATTACTTCAGCGTTTTTAATTGATTTTGATTTAATGGTAACCGAGTAACATTAAACCGAACCGGATTAAAAACGTGGCACCTAAACCGAGAAAGCTGCTGACTGTGATTATTTAGAATGTTCTGATTGGCTGGAGGTTTTAATTGAGGTGTCAACACAGGAAAACTTAAAAAATCCTAGGTGTCAACTCCTAGAGCAACATAAGGGATGTTAGTGTATTGATTCAAATCTCTATTAGAATAAAAATAGACAAAAGTTATTAGAAATATATGAATCAACACTCAGAGATCATGCTAAGTCACCAGGTGTTTATGATGAACATATTAAACTATCAGCAACCATAGAGATTGAAAAAACGAAATACTGAACTACTGATATTAATTTAGCAGCAACAATAACAACATATGTACTCCCATCACCAACTTATCTATCCTAGAGTTGGGCTAACTCCACAAGAACCTGTTACAATAACATAAGATAAAACAGATTCAAGCGTCATTAAAAATTCATATAATATGCGTAAAGATATAAAATTTTAAGTTTTGTTGATACAACGATATCATCCATATACAAGAGTTGCTCTCTCATCTAGGCTATCCACATCAGCAAAAAATTCATTAAATTGTTTTTAAGATATTTAATACATGACTATTCATATTTCTTTACCTATATTTATATTTTAAATATAAATAAAACTAAGAAAAATACACAACTAAATTACTTAATTAATATAAAGTATGTGATAACTTGATGTTAAAAGTTATCAAAAAGTTTGAATATAAGTAAAAATATATTTAACTTGAAATGGTATATATTTACCTTTTTATTAAAAGGATTTATCCTATTTCAAAATGTTATAATGTGTTTACAAGTTAAAAAGTTGAATATAAATTAATTAAGATAATAAAAAACCAATGAGAAATTAGAGTTAGAGTTTGCTTTTTTAAACAAATAGAAGTCGAGTTTTTATATGTAAATTTAATTGCAGTGAAAAACATGAAAATTTTAAGGATTGTGATATGTTTGTTTCCAAATATATTCAATTACAAAACTAACATAATAGAAAATAATCAATGGTCATGAGGCTCATATGCTACCACAACAAAGTAGATATGTAAAAAAGTATATATATTTTTTTTCATCTTATTTCGGTGCAAATGCGATTTTACATTATACTTACAAATTTTAACGTTGAGTCAAATACATATGCATGTTTATAGTCTAACAGAAGTATATGCTAAAATGTTAGAAATAGAAAATTCGAGATAAAGTGGGGTGTTAACATCCTAATAAAATAAAATAAAAGGACGCGATGTGAGATAAAGTATAAATAAAACTAAACAGAAAACTATGCAAACAACCCCGCGCTTGCGCGGGGCTTCAAACCTAGTTCATATAATTCAACGCATTCGTCTGTTCTCTCATTCACCGTGTCTTTCATGAACTGGTCTTTTAGATAGACATGAGCACCATGAATCTCTACTACATCGAAACCTGCAGCAACAACAACATTCAAGTAAACATATATAAGTCTTGAATAAGATTCTTAAGTTTCAATCCTTCGTTTTATCTCTTACCAGCTTCCATAGCGTTTCTTGTTGTGAGCCTAAAATATTGACAATGCCTGAAGTTTTTTTCAGTACTTAGCGGTCTTGGAGGGGTAAATCATAGATTATAAACACGGCCATCATGCCAAATCTAACAGAAGAAGATGCCACCTTTGGCATGAACAGCATCAACGATTGGCTTCCATGCTTCCACATGCTCTTTCGTCCATATCCCATGAGTATATTTATAGCTTCGAGAACAAATCAAACAAAATTTGGAGGTTTAGTTTCAGTCTCACATCAAAACCTCAAACTTTAATCAAAATGAGTGGGAGGTATATTTCGCAGTCACAGATCAAAACCCACAAATGAGCAGAGAGGAGATGCTAATTAGTTACCCTTGGGTTGCATATGAAACTCCGATGGCTTAAGATGAGAAAACCTCATGGGCTAGACCTCTCTTTGCATGTTAAAATCAAGAAAGAAAATAAACTCGCTCAATCCATGGAAAGAGAGGGTCATCTCCATCTAACTCATCTATGTTGATTCAATAACAGACTGGTAGGATTCGAAACCTGATTTAACGACAGAAAAACCAAGAGTAGAAGAATTTGTAATTGAAAGTGTTACCTCCGTTTCTCCACGAGATTCTTACTTAATTGGTGGTCGGAGTGAGATTTGGGAGCATGACAGTAAAGCTTAGTTGGAAGGATTGGTGTCGATATAAATCAAAGAAGAAAATATGAAATTGAATTTTTTCCTTAATCGGAAATTGGAATCGCTGCTGAGCGAAGAAATAGTATGTGAAGAAGTCGACATCGGTGGAAGAGGAAGAAGCTTTAATCGAAGAAGAGAGATGTTGGAATCTACGTGCTGTTGACGGGGAGATTTGTTCGCCGAATGGATTTGATTTCGTGGATTGTTTGAAATTGTTGCAAGTAGAACTGTAGAAGCTAGGGTCGAAGAAAAGAGATACGTCGGAACGGGGACAGGGACGGAGAGATTTCTTCAGCCAAGTAGAAATAAACCAAACGAACCGAGTCAAAAACGTGGCAGTTGAACCATAAATAAGCTGATTGGTATTATTTAGAATGTTTTCACTGACTGTCTGATTTTAATGACGTGTCAGCTCCAGGAAATTTAAAAAAGTTTAAAACACCTAGAAAGGCACAAGAGTTTTTGTTGTGTTGATTAGATTTAAAAATTTCAAATTAATGGACTAATTGGATCAAATCACAAGTAAATAAACATACTTAAATAAAGAAAAAGAGTTCTATTTAGAAATGATTAGTATTGATGAAGAAAAAGAGTTCTATTTAAATATGTATATACATAAGAAAGTGAATTGTTTTATAAACACAATGCAGCTCCTGAGAAAATGTTATTCGAGGAGCTTATTGGGAGGGTCATACCAAAAGAAAATAAGACCAAGAAAGAGTGAAAGAATACCTTTTGTACGTTATATTCTAATAGAAGAAGGGTTGTAACTTTGAGAGAAGCTACCTATCATGTAATTGATTTAGGAACAAAAAATATGATAGTGGAATCAGACCAATTAGTAGAAACATTTATCCCTAAGTGTATGATAATTTATATTTTGTTATATATCAAAGTCCTAATTTAGTATGTGAACATTTTCCTAATCACACGAGTATGAGTTTTTGCCCATGTTCATTTGTTTACTTTCATATAATATTTGGTAGTTAAGTTAAATCCAATCTCCATCAATCCAACTTTGTTCATCCAATCCAATGGACCTTAACTCGATAGAATTTAGGATGAACTTACAAGAACAGATATATTTCTAATAAAGTTATAATCAATTTACCATACTAACTATTTCAAGAATCAATAAATAAAAGTCAATATCATATCATCTAAACGTACCACAAAAACAGATATCACAATCGCTCTTAACAAAGAATAGAAGATTTGACAGGACCAGTGACCAATCAACCAAAATTCAAGAACTGTGTACTCTAAATAAACATACATATTTTATAATCTAACACAAAGCTATGAAGATATAGAAAAAAAAACAATTCTTTATCGACATAATTTTCATGGAAATTTGAATTGTCTATTTTAATCATACAATACTAAATATTCGTTTTTTAAAGAGAAAATTGGCAAAATACACAGGAATGAGAAAGAGTCTGTCCCAATACACATTTTTGTGAGATTTTGACAGATTTTTGTCACAATACACATTTACTAAACTTATAATCCAAATCTGCCCTTCAAATTGATTAATTTATTAAAGGTTTACTTTTTTTGGGGAATTTCTTTTCAATAATCTAATTAACATTAAATCTAGAGAAATCTAACACAACTCTTTTCTTCCCCGACAACTCTTACTCTTTTCTTCTCCGATATACGTCTTCTCCGAAATTGTTCTTCTCTTCTTCTCCGACAGTCGGAGCTCGTTTGTTCGAAGTCGTTGCCGTCTCTTCCGTCGTTGCCTTCTCTTCCGTCTCTGGTGACAAGTGAGGATTTCGATATTGTAATCAAATTGTGTCTCACAATCTCAAATTGATTTGGGGCTTTTGTTTGAAAATTGATTTGGGGCTTTTGTCTGAAAGTTGATTTGCGTTTTCTTAGGTTTGATTTGGGGCTTTTGTTTCAAAATTGATCTAAGCTAAGCTTCATTTTCTTAAAACCCAACTAAGCTTTGCCATTTTTCTCATAATCGATTTGGGTTTTACTTAGATTGTGTTTCAAGCTTATTTTGCATCTCGAGTTTGTTTGTGACTAAGTTGATTTGGGTTTTACTTAGATTGGCTATCAAGCTTAATTTGCATGTCGAGTTTTCTGTTAGCTTTCGCTTAAGGTTTGTTAGATTGTTTGATGATAGCTTAGTCATAAGCTACCATAGGGTATATTGTTAGCTCAATCTTTGACAATGTTAGATTCACCTATTTGTTGATTAAAACTCCAAACGCCTTTTCATCTCTTTTTGTTAATTATCTGTTGACATTGTGAAGATAGCTTTGGCCTAATTTTCCTTAAAATTGCAGGTGACAACAGAAACATTACGCTTGCATCTTCATATCTACGTTCAAGCAGGTGGATAGGTACAATCTTATGCTCTGTTTTCGTTACACACTTTTTTTTCCTACTGAGATGAACTGTGCATAGTTTAGTTTGGTTCGTAGAGTTTAGTAAACTTTGTGAATGTCACATAAGGAGTCAGGTTTAGTTAGGTTTGTGATTTAGTTAGATTTGTGAATGTCACATAAAGAGTTGTTGAAAATGTGAAAATAAGACAACATTTTTGGTTAGAAATTAATCTAGTAATATTCTAATTCAATGATTATCCTGTTGTTGTTTTGAGAGCCGTCTGCTTAGTGTTGTTAGAGCCATGTGAATTTATTCAATTTTGCTCTTTCAGGTATGGACTCAGAATTGCCTAAACGATTATGCAAAGAAGGAACAGAACCACAAGTGGAGAAGATTAACAAATGTTCGAAATTGTCGATCCTCAAGGTTTTGAAGGCTCATATGGAAACTGAGTTGAACGATGTTAAGAAGGATCCCATTTTTGCTCATATCCTTGCGATATACGAGAATCGTTTGGGATTTTCAAGGACATTGATTCACAGCTTCATGTGTAGGCAGCTTCTTACATACAAAAACATGAACTCTGGTTTGTGTTTGCTAGGAGGCCGTTGCGTTTTTCTTTGCAAGAGTTCCATGCGGTCACCGGCCTCAAGTGACGACGATGGCAACAACGAAGTTGAGAAATGGGATGATGATGGAGGTTTTTGGAGTAAGTTGCTAAAGAAAAAAGGGAAGATTTCGATGACAATGATAAGGGAGAGGCATGTACTACAGGCTCACAAGTGGACTCGAGTGGACAGATTGACACTGGTATATGTATCTGTTATTGCTGGTGTGTTGTTGGCAGTAGATGAGAAGACTGCTATATCACATGATTACATCAAACTCGTAATGGATTTTGAGAAGCTAAGAGCTTATCCATGGGGTCTTCACTCTTTCGATCATTTAGTCAACGGGGTCGTCAAAGCAAGGGCAGATTTATGGAAGCCTAAGAGCTACGTTTTGGAAGGATTCTCATATGCTCTACAGATTTGGATTATGGAGGCTATTCCAGACTTAGGAGTCTCGTTGGGGAAGAAGCTGAATGAGATTTCCATTGTAACTCCTCGGTGTTCTAACTGAACGGGAGCTGGGAGGGCAAGTTATGAAGATATCAACAAATTAGAGAAATCTTTTCGAGTATGCATGGTCAGTTGATCGAAGTAAACATTTTTATTTCTTCGATAATTTTATTTAATTTTGAAGATAAACTTACAATCTCTTTTTGGTTTGGTTTTCTTATTTTGTAGAGAGTTTTGTACTCATGGATATCCTCAACCGGGAATATGAACGAGCTGAAGCAGCAAGTCAAGCAGCTTCTATGCAAGAGACAGAAACGTTTTGGCGAGGTTTATTTGAGCAGTTCCAGGTGAAGATTGTGAGTGAAACTGATGCCAAATATGGAAAACTAGAGAAGGAGTTTTCAGAGGTGAAGATTGAGCTTTCAGAGCTAAAGCATTTGCTCTATCAATCTTTAACCCAAAGAAGTTCTCAGCAGCCACCAACAAGCTCCAAACCACCATCTGTTGTTCTTTCTCAGCCAACGAAACCGCAAACAAAGACTGGACAGCCATCAACCAGCTCCAAACCAACTCCGAAGCAGCAGCCGTTGGTGTCTCAAAGAAAGACTAGAGGGAAATCAGGCAGCTTGATAACAGGTCGTACTCAGCCGACAAGAAAGGTAAACAACAAACCAAACTCCAAACCCTGACTTGCTTTTAGTCCACGTAATGTAACACGTAATATAACGTGTGATGTTGTTGTTGTAACTTGTGATGTTAAACTATGTTGTTGATGTTCTTGTTGTTGTTACTGACAAGAACATAACATGTGATTTTGTTATTGTTACTTGTGATGTTGAAACTGTAATGCCTATATGTATGATCTTGAAACCATAATGTTTTTATGTTTTTATGTTTTTGGTAATCGAATACTTTTCTGATGTCTACTTTTCGTTTAATAACAGGGAAACAAAACAGATGTATCTGCACACAAAGTACATGATACTGATTTAATGCAAGACAATATCCAGGCCTACCTTTTGCAAAAGATCAGCGACTTATCTAAAGACTCTTCTGTACCTGTCTTTGATCAGAAGGCAAGACAGCGGAAAGAGCATCCTCAGCCGATAGAGAAGGTAACAAATCTGATGTATATGCTTATTGCGTCAATGTATGTTTATAAATTCTGAAGACCAAATCTGATGTTTATGCTTTACAACTTTCAGGCCAGCAACATTAATGAAAACGTAGATAACCTTTTGGATATAAACCTAACGCAGAGCTCACAGTTTGACATGGAGGAGAATACAGAGGACTACTTATGCAGAAGATTTGGTGACCTCACTCAAGAATCCTTTGTGGCCCGGTTTTGATCAGACACAGCTGCGACATGAAGATGACGCTCTCAAATTCCAGACACCGATAGCTGAATTACATCCAGTGACAGTAAATTTGGCAGAGAAGGTGTCTTCCTCGATGGCCAAGGAGTTGACAGTGTCGTCTAATGCAGGTCAGGACGAGTCTGACAGACTTCTGGTGTATGTACGCGATGAAACATTTGACGAACTACAACAATGGTCACAATTTCCGGAGTAAGTCACAACATCCTATTTGTTTCGATAAATTTATGATTAACATCCATGCGATTGAATAGTTATGGGTTATAACGTGTTATACAGGGATCTACAAGTGGGTCCATATATGTTAACTGGCGAATTATCGAAACGTGTTGTGGGACCAGCTATATGGCTTCAGAACAAGGTTAGAGATGTTTATGAATTGAACATTACTCTCCTTATATCTCAGACGTCTAATATGTTTGCTATGATGTACTTATCCTCTAAAAACATGCCTGATTTATTTATGTTTTAGGAAATTGATTCCATGATGTACCTGTTTCGGGAGATGACATCTTTGAAGCGATGGAATGTTGAGAAAGTTGGCTTCATGAGCTACAATTTCAGTGTCCAAATAAAGTCTGAATACGCAGTCTTTAGGTCCAACAGGAAGCAGTATCAATTGAATGATATTCTCATGGCTTCTGGCAAAGGTGAGCTGCCTTCTCACGGGAGAACAGATTTGGTTTGGGACACAGACGTTGGTTGCATCTACGTCCCGGTTTCTGTAAGTGGAAATCATTGGATCTCGCTTTGTATCAATTTTGTGGACCGCACAGTGGAAGTCTTTGATTGTGCAGGTATGAAAAAATACAGAGAGGTGGAAGCATTCTCAGTTATGGTGCCATGCATTGTGAAGGAAATTCAGACAATCTCGAAGAAGAAACAACTTACCGTTGCACCATACACAATCAGGTATGCGCCTGTGCGTAAAGATCTCAACAAATCTGGCTGTGATTGTGGGATTTATGCTTTGAAGCACATTGAGTGTCATGCGCTCGGCCTCAGGCTCTCTTTGGTGGACGATGATAACATTGACGAGGCGCGGTACAAAGTGGCTACTGATCTATTGAAGGCAGCTAAGGATGAGGTTTTGATCGAGAGAATGTCGAAGTACGTAGCTCCTGAGTTTACACCATCGGAGGTTCTAGACATTTATGGGTTTTGAATTTTTTTCTTTTAGTAGGATTCTTTTGGACACTGTAGTTAGTGCCAAGATTCATTCTTTGATTTGAGTATGCTTGTTTTTCTGGTGCTTGAACTCTTATGTTTTTCTGGAATCCTTTCCACTTTTGCTTTAGTAATGAGAAAATACACTTTTGGTGATATTATGCTTGTATTTGCCTTCTCAGATTAACATAAAAATGGAAATGAAAACTGAGAGATGTGTGAGTCCATTTTACTCTTGCATGAAACCAAACGGAGGGATTCAAACTTTTTCATAACAAATGGTTTACTTGTTAGGTGCAATCAAATTGGCTATAAAGGCTGCGGCTGACTCCATCTTATGATCACCATCGATCCTCATCACTAAACCGAAGTGAATATCAAATCGTACCAAATCCGGAACCGTAAACCCGGAACCGTAGACCCGATTTGCTATCTCGACCCGTCTTTTATATGCTCGATTAACAACTGAAAAATCCCAAATCGAGTTTCTTGAACCCTATAACTCAATTTCACGAAATCCTCAAATCGATCATGCTACATGCGAATTTCGGAAATTGACGTGAGTTCATTTGTATGAGTAAATTTTGTATGCTCCTTCTTTCAGATTACACCTTCGAATGTCATTTTTTTGTAGTCCTTATTCTCCTTTTTGATTGTGATATTTCTTATTGTCAGTGTTCTTATTTTCTTTTGTGTTTGTGTTGATCTGTTTATTCAAAGCTTTGAGAAAATTATCTGAAGCTTCTAGCGGCTCATCGAGTAGCCGTTCAAGAGGTAGAGTTTTTGGTGTCCCTAAAATTCGTTGTTGGTGTGGGAAAAAAACCATAGAAATGATTTCGAAATCGGACAATAACCCCTACAGGCGATACTATCGATGTGAATATGCTGTAGCTAGAAAGGTAATTGAACAATAATCATTGCTTCTCGTTCATAGCTTTAGTGTGTTGATTGTGTTTTTTCTTTTCCAAATAATGCAGCTTGCAAATGATAGTCATATCTTCAAATGGGTTGATGAGGCTCACTTAAATGAGATAGAGACACTGAAAACCAACATTGCAAAACTTGAGGAAAGGATCGAAGAGATTACAACAGAGAGGAAGGAATATGAGAGGATCCTGTTTGAGAAGGTGAAAGTGAAGCTCGAGAAGGAGGTATTAGAGACAATGGAAAAGGCAAAGGATGAATCATCATCTAACATGAAGAAGATGATGCTTCTCGTAGTCTTTGGATGTATGGTCATTGTTGGAGTTAGTAAAACAGTAGGTGGTTAACAAAAATGATATTCTTGTCATTAGAAGTATTATCTGTTTTAGGTTGTTACAAGGGTGCACTTGTCATGGTTTTGTCCTCCTTAATGCAATGGATTTGTGAGCTTATGTATTTGCACATTGTGGTTCTTTTGAATGGCATTTGAAATTGCACAATGTTGAAAGAACATGACCAAAGGTATGACAATCCAGAAAACCGAATAAACTGTATCAAAAACATGACAAAAGGGTATCATAATCCATTGCCAAAAGCATAATAATAAGGTCCTATTTAGCCGATGAAAACTGAAAAATGCTAAACCAATCAACTTCATTCAAGCGTCTGAGAAGCATTGGGTTGAGTGAGAGTTCCTTGTGAGGATTGTCCAGGACCTTCCAACAATTTCTACAAAATCAACCATAAAACAAAACAGAAACATTAGACTCACAACCAAAATTTCAGACCAAAATCTGTGCCACATACCTGTTAAAACGAAACAGAAACATAAGACTCATCCATAAGACTCAACTATAAGAATCAACCAAAAAAGCAGTGACACATACAGTTAAAATATTCCTCAAGCATTTGACAACATTCGCCTATCTCTTTAACCCCTTCCACCGAATCCTGATAGAGAAGAAGAGAATAGCATAATCAAAACACAATCCAGTTATCTTATCGAAGTGTAAAGGATACACAATTCGAAGAACTTACTATATTGGCATATCACATGTTGCTCTGTTGTGACCTTCTTTAAAACAGCGACTGCACATGTGCCTCTTCTTAACTTGTCCTCCTTGTGATAATCTAATCTTGTCTTCAACGGTTTGATACCTTCTTTTTCTTCGCCTACCAGCAGCTCTGCGTGACTCTGGACACAACACAATGTCTTGTTCGACATCTATTGGGACACGCCATGCATCCTCAGGGGTACCAATTTGATTTATTGGTTCGTCGAACGATGACCTCCATACAATAGTCTTTGAAGTATCATCGCTGAATAAGTGTGGCTCCATTCCCAAATGAAGACATGCTCTAACGGCGTGTCTACAAGGAATTTTCAGGAGATCATACTTCTGACATGTACATGTCCGTTTCACCAAATCAACCACACAATCATATATGTCGCCACGAACCAGTAATCTGCTCTCCGCAATTGGAAAAACCTTAAATGTTTTACTTTTTCAATCCTCCGAGCAATCTTTTTCTCCACGGCAATGGTTAGAGGGTGTTTTGATATACCTCTATTTTACCTACTTTTTATGCTATTTTACTATGGTTTTCTAATGGTTTTCTAGTGGATTCTTGTGTTAAAAGGTAGTTTTTATGGATTTATAGTGCAAAGAGTCATTTTAGGTAAAAAGGTGCATTATGGAGCAAAACAGGAGATTTGGACTCTAAACCAGTTCAATGCCCCTGCATCAACTTTGGATGGAGCTAGAAAAAGATCTACTCAATGGATTTCATCAAGACCAGTTCCCTGCGTGCTCTGATTGAGTTAACTTTCCAACGCAACTGGAACGGCCTCATTTGGATGAGTAGAAAAGGAGTTATAGCCAAAAGAGTGAAGGCTGCTCCAGACGGCCATATCGAGAATCAGCGCCGAACGCGCAGACCGGCTGGCCGAGGAACGAATGTTCCGCGCTCGGCCAAAACCGTATCCGTCCGACTGAAGTCTCGGCCAAAGTCCAAAACCGTCGGCCGATCGCAATCACGACCCGGGAAACATTGCCCGCGGTCGGCCAAGCCACGCCACGCCGCGCACGACCACCGCGCGAGCCGGGAAACGCCTCGCGGCCGCGCAACTCATCTCACGTACCACGCCGAACGCGCCATCCGACCGGGAAAACGTCCCGCGTCCGGCCGAGAAACCATCGGCCAAATTCACCGTCGACCACACCGGCCGACCGCATCATCCGGCCCGACCGTTCCGACTCGGCCAAAGACCCGACTGTCCGGCCGACCGTCCCGACCGACCGTCCGAACGCCGCGGTCGACCCGAAGCCGTTTTTGAAGCCCAATCCGCACAATTCAAGCCCAAAGCCGGCGCCGACCTAGCTAGATTAGGTTTAGCCGCCTTTCATACTTAGAGCATTATAAATACTTCTTTTTAGCCTTGTAACTCAAGAAGGAGAGAGACCACAATCTATTTTACATCTTAATAAAGTTTTGCTTGCTTTTACTTTGTTCTTGCTTGTTACTCTTTCTAGAGAGGATTCGAATCTCTGTTCTTATGAATATGAATTCGTTTCCTTCTCTATGTCTGAGTAGTTTACTTGTTAAGTGATAGGAAGTCAAAGGATAGCATTCATGTATGCTTGATGATTGATCACAATTAGGGTTTTACTTATAATCTCCATCTTTGCTTATACTTAATGCTTGTTGTTAATCTGGCCAATTAGCATATGCCTTTAGGTTGATTTGAGCCTCGACAGTGCTGTATCATTCGCCTGAACTAGTATTTGGTGGGCAATCTCTTTTAGACTGCGACAGTTGATCTACTTGTAGGTTGTGAACAATTGATCTTGATCGAACTAATGCTTGATTTAATCACCTAGGGACATACCAAAAGTTTAGCGACTAGGTAGATTAACAAAGGGGTCGGAGCCTCGACAGTGGAATGATCATACCATAGTGTTTCAAGTTCTAGATTAGCACCTAAGTGCGGTAACCCTAATTGATTGATTTCATGCTTCTTGAATTGCTTATCTCAAGACTATCCTATTGCTTAGCCTTTCTCTCCTATTGAATTCTCACTTTTATTACTTGCATGCTTTACTTTCTCTGCACTCAACCAACTTATACTTTTGCCCTAGCTTGATCTCAACTCATAACTTGTAGTGTGCAATCTGGTCCTTGTGTTCGATACCCGTTTACTACTTCTGACCTGTGCACTTGCAGAATCAGGGATAGGAAAGGGGAAGACCTGATCCCGCGATCAAGTTTTTGGCGCCGTTGCCGGGGACCAATTCGCACCTACAAGTTCTTGCAAGAGAGCTAGTCTAGGGTTTTTTTCCTTTTTCCTTTTTTCACTTTTCCTTTTTGTTTTTGTTATTTCTTTTTTTTCTTTGATTTTGTTTTTCCTTTTTTGGTTTTTCCTTTTTGTTTTTAGCTTTTCAGGTTTTCCTAGTTAGATATGGAGAAGGAGCCACAAGCCTCTTCCCCTATAAAGGCGATGCCAATTCGCCACATACCACCTCAAAGCACCTCTTGAGCGAACAAGAGATGTTCAAGCCCTCAAGCACCACCACCTTCATGGGATAGTCCTCCAAGACCATCCACTTTGAAGACAAAGAAGAAACTTCTTCCTTACCTTGAAGCAGCCGACCTGGAGACGTCTAGCCAAGCCGCATCACACCAAGAAGAACACCTTCTAGCCACACCAGAAGAGGAGATTAACCCTGAGCTGATCGAGTTCGTGAAGAGAGATCAATTCCATGATCTGTTTTCAGAGTATGCATGGAGCACATAGATCACTTTGACAATCTTTGTGATTCCTATGGAGTTTTTGACTTTGAGAAGAAGATGATGCTATTCAGCACATCACTAGCTGGACCAGCACTAGATTGGGCGCAGCATGAACCACCTCTACAATCGAGTCATGGATCGATTTTAGAGAAGCTTTCTTGGAAAGATTTGCAAGAAGCCACCTTTCAAATCCAAGTACTACCACTACTCTCATCAGCTGGAGAGAGAGCGTGATGAAGAAGAATGGGGAGGCATACCACCTCATCCTGAAGTTCTGAATGAAGATCTAATCAAGCATGTGGAGAGGAATCCTTTCTACAACTCTATTTCAGAATGTGCAAAGGAGCATCTATGCAACTTTGAGCAGCTTTGTCATGACTATGGACTTGGAGACAACCCCAAGAAGATACAACTTTTCCAACTATCACTAGCTGGACAAGCCAAAGACTGGGCTAAGTTCAATGCCCAACATGCTTTCAAGACTTGGAATGGATACAAAGGAGCTTTCCTCCACAGATTTGATAAAAATCCTGTTTATGTCCCACCACCACGCCCAAGCTATTCACAATACCATCATCATCGTCAGACATAACAAGACACCCCTTTTCCCAAGGGAGAGTTATCAAGCTGCGCGCCTAACCAAGATTGAAGATATGCTTCAAGAGTACTTGAGAAATCAAGAAGAAGAGTACAAAGAAGATGGGAGAAGAATCGATTTCATCCATGAGAGCCTTGGAAACAAATCTGAAGTCCTATTCAAGCAAGTGATCAAGCTTGATGAAGACATTAAGAAGTTAAGAGAGGATCATGATCGATCTTTGACCCTAGTTAAGCTTGATGTTGCTTCCAAATATCAAGAGTTGCTGAACAAGAGCATGAGAATTGAAGATACTAGCTATGGCAATAGCAAGCACCTTGGATCAATCTACAACCGCCTACAAGCCCTTGAAGGATCATCTCATGCTACTTACAAGAGAGAGAGGAGCCCAACACCCAACCACCCTCCCTTTTATTGCAATGCCATCACAAGAAGAAGCACTACTCAAGTCCACAAGGATAGTGAAGAAGAAGAAGAAAGAGAGTATGAGGAACAATTGAATGATGAAGATGAAGAGCAGAGCATCGACATCAATGCTTCCCCAAAACAGAGCATGGATACACCAAGCCCTAGAGACCCTCGTTTCTCACCAAGAAGTCAAGCCCCTACACTTCCAAGATTGGAAGCAATGCAAAGACCATCACCACCTACTGAAGAAGAAGATACTTGGCAATATGATCCCATTGATCCCAACAAGATAAGCCCCATGAAGCTTAAAGAGTTCAATGCTAAGGTGAAATCACTTCCATTCTATGTCACTTTTGAAGAAGCTTGGGAAAAACATGGTCTAGTGGAGTTCTTTTTCACAACTAGTGAAAACAAAGAAGAGATACACCAACTCTTCAGGAAGCACGATTTCCCCTTGCCCCTCATGCAGTCAATCAACCACCATCTTCACCACAACCCAAGTGGTATGTCAATTCCATATCAAGAGAGAAGCTTGCTGAGTTCAATCAGTTTGTCCAAACTCTTCCAGCCAGCATGTCCTTCCAAAAGCTTGGCGCCACTACCCATTCACCACTTTCTTCCACAACTGCAAGGAGACACCTGAAGACATAAGAGAGCTTTTTAAGAAAGCTAAAGTTCAGCCTACCTTCAAGACCCTCTACAAGATAGAAGACCCAGCCAAGCCAAGAGGAGTTGTTGTTGATGTTCTTCTAGAGATTGGAGATATCAAGATTCCGGTGGACTTTCATGTCATAAACATTCAAGGAGGATGTGACACACCATTGATACTAGGCCGACCCTTTTTGGCCACTGCTGGAGCTGTCATGGACCTTCCAAACCGGCGAATGTCCTTAGCCAATGTGGACAAGACAGTCTTTTACAAGACCATACCATTCATTGCACCAAACAAGCTGTCTTACCTCATCACTGCCCAAGGCCGCCCAAGAGAGCCACCAGACCACACTCAAGGTCACAATGAGACAAGAACTAAAAGACTATGTCTCAGGCCGTGCCCTTACCCCATTCCAACTAAGAGATCCTATCAGTCAAGCTAATGACTCAAAAGAAGCGATGCATGGGAGGCAACCCATGAAAGGTGTTTTTCTTTACTTTTCTTTTCAATTTGTTTTAGTTAATGTCTAGTTTTGTTTTGAGATTTGGAAACAGGAATCTAAGAACCACACAATGGTAAAGAAGATATACCACAAAGAAGAATGTCATAGTTGGCGCGACTTAGATGGCCGAGCAGAACCTCTCCACGCTCGCCCATGTCCTCTCAAGCCGCCCAACACACCATCCCATCTCATTCCACTGCATCTCACCCATCCCACCTCACCACACTTGCATTCCATCACTACCATCATTCCACTGCATTCACCATTCTTCAAGTAACACAAAATCAGGTTACATCTTTCTTTTTACATTCACAACACTTTATTACCTCTTTCTTTAACTCCCTTAATTGGATTTTCTTTCACCGGGACGGTGCAAGTTAAGTCTGGGGGGATTGTCGGTACTAATGTGTTTGTTCATGGTTGTTTTGATCTTATAATGGTTTTTCCTAACCCACTTTTTCAAAACTTCTGTTTTATTGAGTCAAAACCAGTCCGGAACATGAACTTGCTTTGAGATTTGATAGTGTTATGCTAACAATCTATGACCCTAGAGCAAACATCAGCTGAAGGCACAAGCCTAACAGAAGCTCCTACAGTGGATCGACATGCTAGCTCAGCGAAATTTCTAAGGTAACCAAGCAATCTAGAGTTAACCTCACCCTTAATCAATCTTAATAACTCTTGTCAAGGGGATTGGCATACATGTCGACAGTTCCTTGCTTGATTTTCAATGAGATTTGTCTAAAGAGTTCTCCTCTCTCTCCCATCCCAAATGGTAAGTAATGTTTATGAGAAAAAGCTCAAAGAGCACAAGGAAAACAAGTAAGCATGAGGAATGCATATGTCTGTACCTTCATGTCTTATGGAATACCTTAGTCAAACAAGGAACAAGCTAAAGACTTATCCTGTGGTTGAAAGAAGGTCAATAGAAAAAATAAAATGATACCCTAGAAAAGTAGGGAGAAATTGACCTTTCAAAGTTCTGATGTGAGAAAGAGAGAGGAAAAGAACTCATTGCACTTCAAAGACAATCTTGGAGAAGATCAAGTGGGTAAGAACAAGTTCAATTGATCGATTTCCCTTGATAAAGAACTCACGCTTTAAATTTATGCAAGAGGTTAGCAATAGAGAGTTTGGATTGCTGGATGAGACTAGTTGGGTTGGTATTGTTCGCTAAACTTGCAGGGTGTATGTGAAGCTAACCTTATGTTGTCTATGTTCTTAGTGGAATACAGGAAAGGAACCTTTCACAGGATTTTCAAAGAAGCAAGGGAGTTCCACGTTTTTCAAAACCTCTTCACTAGTTTAGATTCTTTTTGCTTGGGGACAAGCAAAGATCTAAGTCTGGGGGAGTTGATATACCTCTATTTTACCTACTTTTTATGCTATTTTACTATGGTTTTCTAATGGTTTTCTAGTGGATTCTTGTGTTAAAAGGTAGTTTTTATGGATTTATAGTGCAAAGAGTCATTTTAGGTAAAAAGGTGCATTATGGAGCAAAACAGGAGATTTGGACTCTAAACCAGTTCAACCCCTGCATCAACTTTGGATGGAGCTAGAAAAAGATCTACTCAATGGATTTCATCAAGACCAGTTCCCTGCGTGCTCTGATTGAGTTAACTTTCCAACGCAACTGGAACGGCCTATTTGGATGAGTAGAAAAGGAGTTATAGCCAAAAGAGTGAAGACTGCTCCAGACGGCCATATCGAGAATCAGCGCCCAACGCGCAGTCCGGCTGGCCGAGGAACGAATGTTCCGCGCTCGGCCAAAACCGTATCCGTCCGACTGAAGTCTCGGCCAAAGTCCAAAACCGTCGGCCGATCACGCAATCACGACCCGGGAAACATTGCCCGCGGTCGGCCAAGCCACGCCACGACCGCGCACGACCAAACCGCGCGAGCCGGGAAACGCCTCGCGGCCGCGCAACTCATCTCGCGTACCACGCACGATGCGCCGTCCGAGCCGGGAAACTACGTCCCGCGTCCGGCCGAGAAACATCGGCCAAATTTCATCCGTCCGACCACGCCGGCCGACCGCATCATCCGGCCCGACCGTTCCGACTCGGCCAAGACCCGACTGTCCGGCCGATCGTCCCGACCGACCGTCCGAACGCCGCGGTCGACCCGAAGCCGTTTTTGAAGCCCAATCCGCACAATTCAAGCCCAAAGCCGGCGCCGACCTAGCTAGATTAGGTTTAGCCGCTTTCATACTTAGAGCATTATAAATACTTCTTTTTAGCCTTGTAACTCAAGAAGGAGAGAGACCACAATCTATTTTACATCTTAATAAAGTTTTGCTTGCTTTTACTTTGTTCTTGCTTGTTACTCTTTCTAGAGAGGATTCGAATCTCTGTTCTTATGAATATGAATTCGTTTCCTTCTCTATGTCTGAGTAGTTTACTTGTTAAGTGATAGGAAGTCAAAGGATAGCATTCATGTATGCTTGATGATTGATCACAATTAGGGTTTTACTTATAATCTCCATCTTTGCTTATACTTAATGCTTGTTGTTAATCTGGCCAATTAGCATATGCCTTTAGGTTGATTTGAGCCTCGACAGTGCTGTATCATTCGCCTGAACTAGTATTTGGTGGGCAATCTCTTTTAGACTGCGACAGTTGATCTACTTGTAGGTTGTGAACAATTGATCTTGATCGAACTAATGCTTGATTTAATCACCTAGGGACATACCAAAAGTTTAGCGACTAGGTAGATTAACAAAGGGGTCGGAGCCTCGACAGTGGAATGATCATACCATAGTGTTTCAAGTTCTAGATTAGCACCTAAGTGCGGTAACCCTAATTGATTGATTTCATGCTTCTTGAATTGCTTATCTCAAGACTATCCTATTGCTTAGCCTTTCTCTCCTATTGAATTCTCACTTTTATTACTTGCATGCTTTACTTTCTCTGCACTCAACCAACTTATACTTTTGCCCTAGCTTGATCTCAAACTCATAACTTGTAGTGTGCAATCTGGTCCTTGTGTTCGATACCCGTTTACTACTTCTGACCTGTGCACTTGCAGAATCAGGGATAGGAAAGGGGAAGACCTGATCCCGCACATCATGTTTATGCCTCAAGCTCAATGCTCTACGCTGATAAAACCACCTTGTTAACATCTCTCTAATGCTATCCAGGAGGGGGATTACTGGAAACTCTCTAGGTGATCTCAATGCCGAGTTTAATGATTCAGCCGGGTTAGTTGTCCTAATGTCGTATCTGAATCCTCCAAACAAGCAACAAGCCCATTTCCTGACATCAGCTTCCAAGAGATATTTTCCAACCTCTGGACTAATTGCACAAACATCTATCATCATCTTCTGAAAATTGACAACCCTGTAAGCTTTAGAAGCCTTTTCAACCAAGCCAACTACACCTTTACCATGGAAATATGATATAACATTGTTCAACATATGGTGAATGCAAATTCCATGGCTAGCTCGTGGATAAACTTTAGCAAGTGCTTTACCAATGGAAAAATGCCTATCCGAGATAAAAGCCAAACCGGGATCATCCTCAATGACAACATGTAGTTCCCTTAAATCCACTCCCATGAAAGATCATTTTCAGAATCAACCACACCAAATGCAATTGGATACAGATTTGAGTTACCATCTAAAGTTGTTGCAACTAGCAGCGTTCCTTTGTATTTATTCTTCAAAAAAGTACCATCAACAACAATGATCCGCCGCATGGCTTTATAGAACCCTCTTACTGATTGACCAAAGGAGATAAATAGATATCTAAAACTACCATCCTCATCTGTTTTTGTAAGCAGTATGCGTACCCGGGTTAGCCTCTTTTAGCATGTACAAGTATTTGGGTATCTTTGCGTAGCTCTTCTCAAGTATACCTCTTACAACATTCACAGCATACTCACGGGCCTCCCAAGCCAAAGTGTAAGATATCTCGCACCCATGCTCTGTAAGCATGAACTGTATGATATCATTCGGTCTAGGCCCTTCTTTAACTCCCTCATACTTCTGTAAAATAAGATTGCCGATTGTTTTTGCCGAGGCTAATCTTGCGATTTTTCTTTTACTTGAAGGGGTACAAGTATGTTCACCCACATACTTCTTCACTACAAAATATGTGGCATTAACAGATTGACAGCATTAACACCCCACTTGCACAATCTTTCTGCACAACGGATTGTCCAATATGTGGTATCTGATCGCTCCACTATGTAATCGAAGTTGTGCTTCATTGCAAGGATTTCAAAATATGACTTCATAAGTCTTTTGCTTCTGAAATCTTGTTTCTTCTTCACAGTTTCCATCAAAGCAAAACGAAGCTGATTGTTCTCCTTCCTTTCCTCTGCAAACCCGAATCCATCATCATTATCTCCATCATACATGTTGCTCTTCACGGTTTCCGATTTCTCATCATTCTCTCCATTACTTGAATCCGGCTCTGTCTTCAAATCGGTGTTGATTCCATTGTTTACAACCTGAACAGGATCTGTAAAGGAGACACACAAATGTTTCGATGCAGCCTTCCTCATATACCCAACAAAGTTTTTCAACTGCCGATCATTGCCAATCACAACTCGTGGAGACCTTGCATCATTGATCAAACCACCCGGTAGAAAACTAAGCTCTATCTTCTCCCCAGTTTCGATTGAAAAGTCCTCTAAAACCATCATCTTTAACGCCTCAAATGTAGTGCTAGATTCCAGAACTACTAATCTAGCTCCTTTGGCCTTATCAGCAACAAAAGTCCCACAAGATTTCCATACACCACAAGTAACATAGATTTGCAACATAATAACTAAGAGGAATAAGAGAAACTAGTAAGTTGTGTGTATAGGAGAAGAAGAAGATGAAGATGACGGCTAAGAAGATGGGAATGGAGAAGAAGTTGCCACAATTGCGTCGTGGGAGAAGGTTGGAGAAGAAAAAGGAAACAAAATATTCAAAAAAATATTTGTTAATATTCTCTAAGATTTCCGGCAGAAGACGATTTCTACATTTGGTAGAAGACTGATTTCTAGAAGAACACGACCTCTACCAACATGGTAGAAAAGTGGTTTTTAGTAGAAATGAACTCTACGGATGGTAAGAGATAATGTGTGTAACAGAATACGAAATCTACGCCTGCGTAGAAGGCTGTGTTTCTCGTAGACAACAAATTCTAGAACATGTAGAAAACTTTGTTTTTGGTAGAACATATCTTCTACCAAATTTACAAAATCGCAGAACATAGAGTAACAGGTAGAAGTGATATGCTACTAATAGTAGAGGTATATATAGATTATAGAACTCGTGTTCTACGGATGGAAGATGTGTGTATAAATGGTAGATATCGAATTCTAGCTCCAGTAGATGTAATAAAAACGTGTAGGATACATATTCTACTTTGAATTTCAGAGCTGGTAGAAGAAAACTTCAATATATTTTTTAAAAATCATATTTTTGAAAAAAAATTGTGAAAAATTATAACAAGTCTGAAGATCATTTATCTGATTTTTAGAAATATTTTGGGTTTCTTACATAAACTATTTCATATTTTTAAATATATAAAGGGTATTAATGGCAAAAATAGGTAAAAAATGAAAATGTGTATATGGACAAACCTTCCCTCTTTTCTGTGTATAATCACAAATCTCCCTTTCTTAAAAGGTTGAGGATGGAATACGAAAAATGTATAAGACCGGTGATCCAAGATATTCAAAAAAGTACCAATGAGATTGGATTTAACTTAAGTTATAAAATCATATTCTGTTATAAACTAAATAAATAATAATAAAACTAAACCAACCTCGGGGTTTCTAAAATAATATAATCCAAACTCAATCGTACCTTGAAGATAGCGGAATATATTTTTATTCTGTTCCAATGTCTTCTGATAGGCGATGAGTTGTATCTTGCAAGCAGATTAGTACAAAACCTATATCTGGTTTAGTGCAATTTGCAAGATACCTAAGTGCCCCGATGGCGCTCATGTCAGGTATTTCAAGACCTAACATTTTTTTTTTTTTTTTTAAATCTTCAATAGGTCTAAATGGATCATTGTTAACATCAAGCGATCTATTGACCATTGGACTACAGTCCGTTTATTGAGAGAGAATATTTCATTCTTCATGGCCATTTGCCATTTCTCCCAGTCCGGCCTCTTTTGGCACTCTGACACGGAAGTTGGATCTGGATCATCATTTTCATGATCGATCTCTTTAGCCACAGAAAAAGAGAACATTCCATCATTATCTATTTCACTTCTAGCCCATAGTTTTCACTTTGGGTGAAGGAAATGGAAATCTCAAATTTTTCTGTCTCAGGTTCGTCATCTTGACGAACCTCTTTATCAGGTTCTACAAGAACCTGATCGGAAATGTCTTCAAGACATTTTGGTTCATCAGGAACCTTTACTCCACAAATCTTTTTCTTTCGGGGATATTTATCCTTTGATCCTATAAGCCTCCCGCGCTTTTAGTTGAACCGGTTCACTTGCTCTATTCACATCAAAATGTTCATGAGGAACTTCAATTTTTGATGGAGCATTAGCACCGGGGATATAGGACTTCGTCACCCTTTCGTATCTGAACTCATGGTCAACTGGTTAGCCAATCTTTGTATACATTTCTGAATTTCCACCTCGCGTTGTTTAGAAGGAGGATCAAAATAAGCCAAAGAGTGTGTACACCATTTGGTGATATCATTTGGTGATTCTCTCGACCCTCCCCCTAACGCAGGGAATTCATTTTCATCAAAATGGCTATCGGCAAATCGTGCCATAAACATATCACCAGTTGCCGGTTCAAGATACCTTATTATACTAGGGGGCGAATACCCGACATATATTCCCAATCTCATCTGTGGTCCCATTTTTTCCATTTCCTTCGCCCAAAGTGAAAACTATGGGCTAGAAGTGAAATAGATAATGATGGAATGTTCTCTTTTTCTGTAGCTAAAGAGATCGATCATGAAAATGATGATCCAGATCCAACTTCCGTGTCAGAGTGCCAAAAGAGGCCGGACTGGGAGAAATGGCAAATGGCCATGAAGAATGAAATATTCTCTCTCAATAAACGGACTGTAGTCCAATGGTCAATAGATCGCTTGATGTTAACAAGGATCCATTTCGACCTATTGAAGATTCTGAAAAATGTTAGGTCTTGAAGTACCTTACATGAGCGCCATCGGGGCACTTATGTATCTTGCAAATTGCACTAAACCAGATATAGCTTTTGCTACTAATCTGCTTGCAAGATACAGCTCATCGCCTACCAGAAGACATTGGAACGGAATAAAACATATATTCCGTTATCTTCAAGGTACGATTGAGTTTGGATTATATTATTCAAGAAACCCCGAGGTTGGTTTTGCAGATGCTGGCTACTTGTCTGATCCGCATAAAGCTCGATCGCAAACCGGTTATGTTTTCACATACGTGGAACCGCGATCTCCTGGCGTTCCCAAAAACAAACATTGGTTGCAACGTCTTCAAATTATGCGGAAATCATTGCACTCATGAAGCATGCAGAGAGTATGTATGGTTGAGATCTTTGATCCAACATATACAAGAAGCCAGCGGAGTATCTACAAAGAAAGAGCCAACAACATATACGAAGACAATTCTGCATGTGTCACTCAACTCAAAGAAGGCTACAAAGAGCGACAGGACAAAACACATCCCTCCAAGATTTTTCTCTACACTCAAGAACTTGAGAAGAATCAAGAAGTGGATATTCAGTATGTTCGCTCAAGTGACAATGCACTGATCTCTTCACAAAGGCGTTCCTACAAAGTGTTCAAGAAGCACGTTCAAGTATTGGAATGCGTCGTCTTCAAGATTTGTGAAGAGAAGAATATATCCATTTTTCAGGGGAGTTTGCTTCGTGGTACTCTTTTTCCTTCTCATGGTTTTTATCCCAATGGGTTTTTCCATGATAAGGTTTTAATGAGGCCGCATGCAACTTCACAATAATGGATAATCAAGGGGGAGTATTATAATGGATGTTTATCCATAATTTCTTAACCATGAAGTTAGGAGATATTTTGATTGTTTAATAATATCTATTGGGTATAAATAGAGCCTATGGCTTGACGTAAAATATTCATTTGAAACATTTTGAGAAGAGAAAGACATCTCTCTTTCACTCCCTCTCCTTTCACGTATCTCTCTCACCTGACCCCAAGTGGGTCCCACCACTCTTTTCTTTTTATTATTTATTTAGTTTATAACACGTTATCAGCACGAAATCGTAAACTAAATAAATAATAAAAAGAAAAGAGTGTGTACACCATTTGGTGATATCATTTGGTGATTCTCTCGACCCTCCCCCTAACGCAGGGAATTCATTTTCATCAAAGTGGCTATCGGCAAATCGTGCCGTAAACATATCACCAGTTGCCGGTTCAAGATACCTTATTATACTAGGGGACGAATACCCGACATATATTCCCAATCTCCTCTGTGGTCCCATTTTTGATCTCTGTGGTGGCGCTATTGGGATATAGACCGCACACCCGAATACCCGGAGATGGGATATATTTGGCATATTTCCAAATGCCAACTGTATGGGCGAAAATTTATTATAAGCACTTGGTCTCACTTGAACCAAGGCTCCCGCATGCAATATTGCATGTCCCCATACAGTGATTGGGAGTTTTGTTCTCAAGATTAACGGTCTTGCAATTAACTGCAACCGCTTTATTAATGACTCAGCCATGCCATTTTGCGTATGAACGTGCGGAACCGGATGTTCAACATCGATTCCCACAGACATACAAAAGTCATTAAAGGCTGCTGAAGTGAATTCACCAGCATTATCAAGCCTGACTTTCTTTATGGCATAATCAGGGAAATGCGCTCTCAACCTGATTATTTGGGCAATGAATCTTGCGAAAGCCATATTTCTTGTGGTCAAAAGACACACATTTGACCATCTACTAGATGCGTCAATCAATACCATAAAGTATCGAAATGGCCCGCACGGTGGGTTAATAGGCCCACATATATCACCATGTATTCTCTCTAAGAATACAGGGGATTCATTCCCAACTTTGGCTGGCGAGGGCCTAATTATGAGTTTTCCTTGAGAACATGCTTTACATGAAAACTCCCCCGATTGAAAAATCTTTTCATTTTTCAATGGGTGGCCACTCGTATTTTGCACAATTCTTCTCATCATGACTGAACCTGGGTGGCCAAGTCTTTCATGCCACACCCTAAAAGTGCTAGTAAACATCTGGTTTACTGCAACATAAGATTCAGTCATGTTGATTTTTGTGCAATATAAACCAGAGGACATCATTGGTAATTCTTCCAATGTTTGTTTCCTCTCCGTTGTAATGCAAAGATATTCAATGCCATTTTTGTTTATAGTCTCAATATGATATCCATTTTTGCGGATATCTCGGAAACTTAATAAGTTCCGGTGAGACTCGGGGAATATAGTGCATCTCGCACTTCAAATTTTGTTCCCCTTGGCAATGAAAAACTTGCACTCCCAGAGCCAAGTATTATCTTTGCACTACCGCATATAGTACTCACGCTTTCAGCGGAGTCTTTCATTTTGAGATAGGAGAAATACTTCTTATCTTTGAGTATTGTATGTGTCGTAGCACTGTCTGCTAGACAAGTATCTCCATCCTTAATCTCAAATCGTGGCACCATCAGGGCCACTGAATTCTTTTGAAAACTTTAAACAGAATAACAAAATTGAAAGCATAAATTGAAAGACAGAAATTTAGATCTGGGAGGAGACATAGTCATCAACTCCGCTACATAGAGGAGGTTTTCACCATCAACTCCGGAGGAGGATTTCCCTACCACTCCATATATATGATCTGAGGAGACATAGTCTACCATGTGATCATTTGCTCGGAGTAGGCAGAGCCTAGCTTCCCGGCTTTAATTTATTTGATCGAGGAGGCAGAGCCATCCATGACGATCAGCTCGGAGTAGGCAGAGCCTAACTTCCCGGCTTTAAGAGATTTATTTGATCGAGGAGGCAGAGCCATCCATGACGATCAGCTCGGAGTAGGCATAGCCTAACTTCCCGGCATAATAGACAAAATATAATTTTAAATAAATTTGGACAGAATTTAGGCTTACCTTCCGGAATAAGAATAGATCTAGACAGATCTAAGGTATAGAGACAATCGTGCTGATAACGTGTTATAAACTAAATAAATAATAAAAAGAAAAGAGTGGTGGGATCCACTTGGGGTCAGGTGAGAGAGAGATACGTGAAAGGAGAGGGAGTGAAAGAGAGATGTCTTTCTCTTCTCAAAATGTTTCGAATGAATATTTTACGTCAAACCATAGGCTCTATTTATACCCAACAGATATTATTAAACAATCAAAATATCTCCTAACTTCATGGTTAAGAAATTATGAATAAATATCCATTATAATATATTATATGATTTGTCTATCAGTAAAGATTTTTGTGTGGTTGGTTAAACAATTAAAGAAAAAAGAAGCCTTAAAATCACAATTATAAAAAATCTCCGTTGCCGGGACTCGAACCCGGGTCTCTCGGGTGAGAGCCGAGTATCCTGACCAGCTAGACTACAACGGACTGTTGATTTATCAGTAAAGAACTTGGGAGAATTGGCAATTTACCCCATATTGAAAGTGTTTTTGTCCCTTTACACCTTCACATTTGTGTCTTGTCCTATTACCTTTTTTTTTTGCATTTTTCTCATTTTTGCCCTTCCTTTTAATTGGATAATGTTTTGTTTTTTCGTTTCTAAAATTAAAATTTTGATAAATAAAAAAAATAAAAAACGAACAAGAAAGAAAGGAAAGAAAGATTTGAAAAATATTCAGTTGCAATATTTTCTCGATCTTCGCAGAAGATGAATTCTACAAAACCGTAGACGACACTAATTTTGCTAGATTGCGTACTAGAAACACGAGTACTACGGATCGTAGAAAATATGGTTTTAGTAGAACACTACTTCTGCGGGATGTAGATTAGACAAAAACACGTAGAATACGAAAACTATTTCTTGTAGATAGCAGTGTTTCGCGTAGAACGTAAAATCTACGAGTAGTAGAAGATACTTGATTGTGTAGAATATATTTGGTGCGAATTCTACAAAATAGTAGAGCCTATAAGGCTTGGTAGATATCAACTTCTACATCCGGAAGAGGTATGTATAAGTTGTAGATATTATGTTTTACGGAGGTTAGACCAACGAATATCTTGTAGAAAACGTAGTCTACTTTGTTATTTTAGATTTGTAGAACGAAACTTATAATATTTTTTTAAATATCATAAGCATTTTCAAAAATGTTCAAATATTTTACACAGTGCTGAAATCATTTTTAGGAATTATGGAATTTATTTTCACTTGAAAAAACATTTTGTATGAGTTTATAAATAAATTGAAGGGCAATCTTGACTAAAAATGACCAAAGTCAAAATAGGTGTAAAGGGACAAGAAATCTTTCAATTTGGGGTAAATTATCAATTCTCCCAAAGAACTTAGCCTCTCTATTCTTGGCCATTGTGAATAAATACCAAAAATAAATAGAAACCAATCAAATCCCTAGTTAGCTGCCTTTTAATGCTTGCAACTTTACTAACTTGTCTCAAAGCAGGGTTCCAAACAGCCAAAGACATGCCTTGAAGCTCAAGGCAAATGAGTCCATCGCAATGGACCAATTACTGAAGCTTTGAGAAGCTCTATCTAGGGTGATCTAGTAAAGTGTGCTATCTTTTATTTTGCATCACAGCATTAATAATAATTTCACACTGTACATGTTTTCTCAACAAATGCACACTTAACAACACAACACAAGAAGAAGACTCTTGTATATTTGTGAGGATGTCATTTCACATAGAATGATCGCCAAATGTTTTAGGACGTAACGGAAACAAACACATTCAAGATCAAGCAAACTACTACGAGAATCTACAAGAGTCTTTCTTACATTAAGAAAAACAGATATTTACAAGAAACACTACGACATATCCAGTTTGATAAAGTGATAGGCCCACAATGCATACAAGTACCAAAACAGAGATAATACAAAATTTTCTAACTAGTCAAGAGAGTGAAGTACATTCAAGATTCAAAGATACTACCACCATAGTCTGCAGAGCTCTCACTTACATTCAAAATAGTCTACAGAGACTCCAATATATATCCATTTCATAAAATGAGAGACTTTATGATGCATACAACTATACAAGCACCAAAACAGAAAAATACACATTTTCTAGTCAAGAGAGATAGATACATTCAAGATTCAAAGATACTACTATTATAGCCTGCAAGAGTCTCACTTACATTCAAACTAGTTATCTACAGAGACTAAGATATATCCATTTCATGATTTGAGAGACCTTATGATGCATACAACTATACAAGCACCAAAACAGAAAAATACACATTTTCTAGTCAAGAGAGATAGATACATTCAACATTCAAAGAAACTACCACTATAGCCTGCAAGAGTCTCACTTACATTCAAACTAATTATCTACAAAGACTCTTAAGATATATCCATTTCATAAAATGAGAGACCTTATGATGCATTCAAGGACCAAAACAGAGATAATAATAAAAATTGCAATCAAGAGATCATTAAGAGTGTGCACACACAATGTAATGTACCAAAACCAAATGAATTTTATCAATGATTATACTAGAAATAAGTTTCTACAATATGATGAATACTCGATCAAGGATAGTAATATTGTAAAGACAGCTACTTAAGAAACGTGTAGTTCCAATTATAAATGGCACTTAGATCTGTGTTTCTAACTTAATTTGTGGCAACTTAACGTATTAGATATCGTTAAACTTAATTCCTGGTCTTCATAGGTACTAATATCGATTTGTTAAAGAACAGTCTAAAAAGGGATATAACTGGTCACGTTGAGCTCATTGAAAGAAACTGCAAGTGTACGTAGGCTTCATGAGCGCTCAACGTGATAGGATGCTTATGGTATGTAAAATGTGCATCTCCAAATGATATTACATCAGAATATTATAAATAATTTCTTCGGAAAATATAAAGCTAGCGTACCTTGATCAAATTTAAGATTATGGATATACAGAACTGAGTAGCACTGAAACGGGTACGGGGACAGGAAACGGGTACGGGAACGGGTACGGGAAACGGCAACTTAAAAATACATGGATACGGGTACGGCAGGGGTACTTCAGTAGCGATATATAGAAAATACCCATATATTAAAAATATAAAATGTAACATTGTAGTCTCAACAAAAGAAAAGCACTATAGCATTTTAGAAAACCATAAAAGCCAAGAAAACCATAAAAGCCAAAAAAAATCGACATGGAATCCACATTATCATAGGTCTTATCAGTTTGCTGCCGCCCAAACGATTGACGGTTATGTACCTCCTGGATATAATAAGCTGACAACTACGTTATTGGATAAAGAAAAAGCCAATGTTGAGAAGAAATTAATGACACTGAAATCGACATGGAAAGAAAGAGGAGTATCGATTGTGAGTGACGGTTGGAGCGATCCCACAAGAAAGCCTCTAATTAACTTCATAGCTGCTGGTGGAAATGCTCCTTTGTTTCTTAAAGCTGCGAATTGCTTCGGGGAAGTGAAAGATAAGGTCTTCATTTCTGATTTGATGAAAGAAGTCATCAACGAAGTGGGACATCATAACGTCGTTCAAGTCATCACTGACAATGCAGCAAATTGTAAGGCAGCGGGCGAGATTATTGAAGGTTTATTTCCCCATATTTATTGGACACCGTGTGTTGTCCACACCCTTAACTTAGCTTTGAAGAACATCTGTGCTGCAAAGAATACTGAAACAAATCTGGAAACATATAAAGAGTGCAATTGGATAACTGACACCCATGGAGACGGGCTTGCAATCAAACACTTCATCATGAACCACAACATGAGGCTTGCTATGTTTAGTAAGTTTTCTACTCTTAAGTTGCTTTCTGTAGCTGATACTCGTTTTGCATCCATCATTGTTATGCTTAAGAGATTGAAGATTCTTAGAAGAGGTCTTCAAGCCATGGTTATAAGTGAGGAATGGTCTGCTTATAGAGAAGATGATGTTGGTAAAGCAAACTTTGTTAAAGAGAAGATTTTGGATGATGAGTGGTGGGAAAAAGTGTCTTATATTCTTGATTTCACCAAACCGATATATGACATGATCAGATTTTGTGACACTGACAAGCCAAGCCTTCACTTAGTATACGAGATGTGGGACTCTATGATCGAGAAGGTGAAGGGTGAGATCTACAAGAGAGAAAAACGTGCATTGGCTGAAATGAGTCCTTTCTATGATGTTGTTTATGATATCTTAGTTGCTCGATGGACGAAGAGTAGCACTCCTCTACATTGTCTAGCTCACTCTTTAAATCCAAGGTATATGATTGCAAAAAAAAAGAAATTTCTCTTTTGTTACTTTGCCAAACATTATACATAACATGTTTTGTATGTTGTAGATTTTATAGTGAGGAATGGCTAGATGGAGATTTTGCAAGAGTTGCTCCCCATAAAGATGTAGAACTCTCACGTGAGAGGATGAAGTGTTTTAGAAGATTGTTTCCAAGTAATGATGATCATACGAAAGTTATGGATGAATATGCAAAGTTTTCATTGAAAACTGGTTCTTTTGAAGATTTAAGATGCATTTCGGAGATGTCTTGTAAGGAACCTAAGCATTGGTGGGCTAACTATGGTGCTCAAACTCCTTTGCTACAAGGTTTGGCTTTAAAGTTGCTTGGACAACCTACTTCTTCTTCTTGTGCTGAGCGTAACTGGAGTACTTATGCCTTCATTCACTCACTTAAAAGGAACAAGCTTCTACCAAGTCGTGCTGTAGATTTGGTTTTTGTCCACAACAACCTTCGGCTTTTATCAAGGAATTCCAATGAATATGAAACTGAGAAAACAAAAATGTGGGATTTTGGTGGAGATAAATCAGATTACTATGAATCTGGGACAGATGTGGGATTCTTGGAGATGGAGGAACTCACTCTAGATGAGCCAGATTTTGAAAGTGATATAATCGTTGAGTAGTTGTTTTTTTTGGCTTTTATGGTTTTCTTGGCTTTTATGTGGCTTTTATGGTTTTCTTGGCTTTTATGGTTTTCTAAAATGCTATAGTGCTTTTCTTTTGTTGAGACTACAATGTTACATTTTATATTTTTAATATATGGGTATTTTCTATATATCGCTACTGAAGTACCCCTGCCGTACCCGTATCCATGTATTTTTTAAGTTGCCGTTTCCCGTACCCGTTCCCGTACCCGTTTCCTGTCCCCGTACCCGTTTCAGTGCTACTTAGTTGAACAGTTGAACCAAATATTACTAAGTCCAGACAATGAACCATTAACTTGTAGCTATAGATTATGTGGTGGAGGAAAGGGAAAAACATATAGACTGTGAATAACATGTAACTGTTTCAGTATTTTATATGGCACAGATACATTCAAAGATACAAAAGTTCAAGACTTACCTGAGTAGAAGCCACCATATTAACTGTGTGAGGAAACTCAGTTTGATTGAAACCCAAATTATAACCTAAAATGTTAAAACTGAAATAAAGACAAGAATCCATCAAAACACTAAACTTGCTTTGTAAGCATTCACAGAAAGTAAAATCTCCCTAGCGTCCCTGAGAATATGAATATGAAGCACATACCTGAACAAAAAAAGAAAATTAGTCTTTATTCAGTCTGATACATAAGTATCACCTAAAGATTTGGAAGCTTATTCAAGAATCAGTCCAGTGGTGATCAAAATTAGTATGTTTCTCTGACTTGTGATTTTGATAATCGTATCAACTAATTACAAGCAAGTTTCAAAAGCACATACCTATCATTTGAAGTCTGCTGCATCTTCAAGAGTCTCTAACAACATGAACACCTTCTGAAGCACATACCTGGAAAAAAATCAAAACTAATTAGTCTTTGCTTCACATATATGTCTGCTGCATACCTATTACTGTAGTCTGCTGTAGTCTGAGAAGCACATACCTATTACTGTAGTCTGCTGCATCTCTTCAAGAGTCTCTAACAACTTGAACACCTTCTGAAGCACATACCTGAAAAAAAATCAAAATTAATTAGTCTTAGCTTTTCTAAGCCATCGAACAAGTCTGTAGACTTCTAAGCCTTGTGTTTATATGGTACGAATCAGTATTTGATTCATAATCTGTCTTGTAACTTCTTTCTGTTGTTCTTCTTTTTCCCAGTAAGTCAGAAATCGATCCACAGTTTTTGTCTCAAGACTTCTTATAAAGACTTCCTTAAACATGCACTACCACAACCATACATCCGTTGGTCTTAGGAAATCTGTAATCGAAGAATCTTTGCCTTCTAGTCTCTTCTTTAAGTTGTTGGTCTCAGGTCTTTTCTCCATACAACATATCGTTAGTTGTGTTTACTCTGTCTTTCTCTTACGACTTCGTAAACCGTGTTGGATGGTAAACTTTGTCAATAAAGACTTCCCTAAATATGCACTACCACAACATTCGTTGGTCTCTGTTCTTTGTTACTTACAACAAATCGTTAGTTGTTTTTTACCACCCAACAAGTCTCAGCTTATCCACAGTCTCATAATCTTTGTTGTTATAAGCTGTGGGTTTTTGTATTTCTATCCATCCAGGCAAGTACCAGTGTCTTAGTCTAGAGAGTAGTGACTATCATAAGCCGTGAGTGGTTTCAAAGAACCTATTTTTGTTTCACCTTGTTTCCAACAAAATGAAAACCAACTCATAGACTTTTTTGTCTTAGGACCATTTTCGGCCATTTGGTCGTTATATCCATCCAAATGATAGTCTTTGTCTAATCTTTAGCCTTGGGTAACCGAACATATAGTTCCTGGTCCATAGTCTTTCTTTCTGTTATCTTAAGACTTTCTCGAACTTGTTGGTCGTTAGATCCATCCAACTCATTGTCTTTCTTTTTGTTGTCTTATGACTTTCTCAAACTTGTTGGTCGTTAGATCCATCCAACTCGTAGTCTTTCTTTCTGTTGTTTTAAGACTTTTTTCAGCCATTGGCCGTTAGACTCATAGTCTTTCTTTCTGTTGTCTTAAGACTTTCTCAAGGCTGTTGCTCGTTAGATCCATCCAACTCATTGTCTTTCTTTACTTTTAAGCCTTGTGGTTCCCAGACCATAAATAATTTTCAGCTCATAGTCTGTGTCATTAGACTCTTTAAATCGTTGGTTGTTTGACATTCCATCCCACAAGTTTTCTCTAAGCCAAACTCATAGTCTTTGTCAAGGACTTTTGTCTAAGCCTCTGGTCAATTTATCCTTCCATCATGTAAACTGGAACCATTGTCTCTGTGACAATACATTTTTAAGCCGTGGGTTTAGGAATCTGTTTTCAGTTTGTAGTCTTTGTCTTAAGACTTTCTTAATCCCTCATTATCCTCCGTTCCATCCAAAAATGGAACCATCTTGTCAATAAAGACTTTGTCCTTCTTGCCAACAAACTGAAATCCAACTCAAAGACTTTGTCTTACGACTTCTCAAGCCGTTGGTCGTTATATTTTCCATCCAACTCATACTATTAAGCCTTGGGGTAACCGAACATATAGTTCTTGATTCATAAGTCTTTCTTTATGTTGTCTTTAAGACTTATTCAAGCCTGTTGGTCGTTATACTTTCCATCCAACAAGCCTTCTTTAAGACATTGGTCTTTCTTTCCAATAAGATGAAAACCAACTTGTATGTCTTTGTTTTAAGACTTCTCAGCCATTGGTCTTGAGATCCATGGACTTTCTTTCTGTTGTCTTTAAGACTTTCTCAAGCCTGTTGGTCGTTATATTTTCCATCCAACAAGCCTTCTTTAAGACATTGGTTTTTCTTTCCAATAAGATGAAAACCAACTTGTATGTCTTTGTTTTAAGACTTCTCAGCCATTTGTCTTGAGATCCATGGTCTTTCTTTATGTTGTTTTAAGTCTTTCTCAAGCCTTTTGGTCGTTAGATCAATCCAACTCATAGTCTTTCTTTCTGTTGTCTTAAGACTTTCTCAAGCCTGTTGGTCGTTAGATCCATTCCAACTCATAGTCTTTCTTTCTGTTGTCTTAAGACTTTTTCAGCCATTGGCCGTTAGATCCATCCAACTCATAGTCTTTCTCTGATTTTGAGCCTTGTGGTTCCCGGAACATAGATAAGTCTCAGCTCATAGTCTGTGTCACAAGACTCTTTACATCGTTAGTTGTTTTACATTCCATCCCACAACTCATAGTCTTTGTCAATAAAGACTTATAATTTTCCATCACCCAACATCATGCACTACCAATCCATATATAACGGACTCCAGGCAACGGGACAATGTTTCCAAACAAGAATTTGACAGAACACTATTAGATTAATGCTTGTCAATGATCTTATTTGGGGTTTTAAGTTTCCATTCCCTAACATCATGCACTACCAATCCATATATAACCGACTTGAGGCAACGGGACAATGTTCCCAAACGAGAATTTGACAGAACGCTATTAGATTAGTGCTTGTCTATGATCTCATTTGAGGTTTTGAAAGGGAAAAACAAAACCAGAACACTATTGGATTAGTGCTTGTTTTGGCGTGTTTGTTAATTTCTTAGATAAAGAAAGAATCTTACCTTACGAGGACTGATCAAACGTGTTCCCACTTTGAAAGCCAATAACTCTAGCAGCAGAACAAAGATCCAATCATCTGAGGAATCATGGTTTTTGCGAGGTTCCTGAAATTAAGAGAGGTGATGAAACCATTTGAGATTCCTGAAATCTAACAAAAATACGGATCTATATATTCACATACAGGTCATAAAAGAACCTAAATAATGCCGAAAAAGAATGCAGCACAAGAAGAAAAAAAAGCAACGAAATTGGAATCTTAAATTAACTGGAAACGGGAAACCCAATCAAAAACACAGAACGAAAACTTGAAAATCACTGACAAACTTGGAAACCCAAGCATAATCGGAGAACAAAAACCCTAAAAATCGCGAAAGTAAAATTGAAAACGCAAGCATCAAACAGAGAATTACCTTGACGGGTGAAAGAAGCATCCAACCCCTGACCAATGATCACTGCAAAAAAATAATCTTTCAACGGTTACGCAAATTGGAAACGCTAAACAAATCGCGGTCACTACATGAGATTTAGAAACCCTAACCTTGACGACGATTGAAACATCCAGCCGATTCGATCGGGTCGCTTTCAGGAATCAAGCTTGTAGGTTGCTTCAAACAGAAAAAGTTGGGAGAAAATCTCCGAAAAGTAGATTGAGAGACTTCTGCGAAAGAATGAAGAAAAAAAATGGAAGAGAGAAAATTGGGAGAAAATAATACTTTTGCGAAGAACTGAGGAAATAAAATGGGCGAGAATGTATTTAAAATGTATACTTGCGTTTGACAACACGCGTTTTCTTAACGATTATAAAATTTAAAATGTGTCGATCTATTTGTAACAAACCAAACCGGTCCTCAATTTCAGAAAACCACTTAATCTGAACCGGTTCTGCATCCTTTTTCAAATCATCACCAACGGCACATTTGCTTCTTCATGAATCATGATGTTGTTGGAATTCAAAATTTATAAAATGTGTGGATATGCTCGCTATGAATTTCACTAAAAATATTTGACTGGAAAAATCTGATACAATATAGTGAATAGTGAATTTTTGAAGAAATAAAATATATTATGAAAAATATATATAAATAGTGAATTTTTATGTCTCAGCATATGTCGTCGATAATGTAATGTAGGTCCATTTGGCGAATATCATTATGTTATGCTTCGTGTAATCTCATTCTCAATGTAGTAGAATATTTTTCTTATAGTAATGTGACACAAGCTTGATTCCAAAATAATATCAAGTCATTAGCACCAGATCGTTATTGTTGATGGAAGACAACTCTTCTACTTCACTTTTTTGTTTGTTTGGCTTATCATCACTCTATCTATATCTCATCTTCTCCGGTCTAAAATGATTCTTCTTTTATTCTTCCCTTAAGCTTTTGATTATTCATAGTATTGGGTTTTTGCCATGATATACATCTTGTTTATAGAGTTTATTTTTGTGTGTTTTTGTAGTCTTTTCGAATCTTTATAGGTCTAGGCATATTTGGAGCATAACTGGTCCAAGTTCCAAGTTCCACTTATTTATAAAAGTGCCCCATTCATGTTTTAGAAGACTTTTAGGTTTTAGAAACTACTGTTCGGATATTGAGACTCTTTGAGAAATTTGTTCTTGAGATTTTAGAGAGACCATTATGCTACTTTGTTCGTTTAAGAGAAGAATTTGAATCATTTTTATTTTATATTTCTCTTTAATACAGTTTATTTAGTTTATGATGTTGTCTTCAATAAAATTTGCTAGTATTGTTAATATGATTCCAGTTATAGGTTTACAAAGTGGTATAACATGTACATTTGTGGGTTTTTTGGGTTATACTTTAGTTAAACTTGCGAAGGATGTTTCGTTTCTTTTTCAGCTTTTTATTAGGCGGAAAAAATAAAGTTTGTAGGATTTAATTTCAAGAACGAAGTTTGTAAAGAGGCTGTAAAAAAAGAAGTTTGTAAACAGAAAAAAAAAAAGAAAAAAAAAAAAAAACAAACATTGTTGTAAAAATAAACATTACATAGAATATGATTTTAGCAAAGTAAAAGTGAAAAGATAAAAGTCAACCTGACAGTCCCGTTGACAAAATCATTTCTCGTCCTCGAAAGCTGTGACGGGAAAAGAACGTGACATTCCCGTCGGACCAGCAAAAGTGATTTTCTTCGTGTCTTCATCATTAACATAAATCTCAGAGATGGTTAGCCAGATCAGAAGCTCTTTGCTCTTGATTCCAGTGACACGACGCATCCGACGGTTCTCAATGAACGCAGTGACCTCAGAATCGTACGACACGTTTTTCCCGATGGCTTTAAACTTGTGCTGAACCTTGTTCTTCATCTTGATCCAGATGTAACCGGTGGTTTTGTTGTAACCAATCTCGGTCATGGTGTCTAGAGGAAGAAGTCCTTTGGGTAGGTTCATGGTGGACAAGATCTCGTCGGCTTTTTGCTTGCAGATTGATCCGGCGCCATTGCAGATCTCAGCTCCTTCTCTTTGGTCTTGTTTGGTTTCTTGAGACGACATTTTTATTGATTCTGGTCGATGAGATTTTTTTTGTGAGTTTTGGGGGGGGTTCTTGATGATGGTTTTATATAGGTACTGAGTTTTGTGAGGTTCTTGGAGGTAGATTACGAAATTAGGTATGGTGAAGACTGAAGAGGAAGGAGTTAGAGCGTGAAGGTGAGGTCAAAATGGTAAATGTGAATAGGTTATGGAAACAGACATGCGTACTACGTCTACGTAGGAGTGGGATGCATGCACTTCTTCATGTTATTGGAATATGTATAATATATAGTCCTTTTCATGATTAAGCAAATTTCTTATTTTGTTACCATGACTAGAGAAGTTGTACATTTGACGAACGTTTTTTGTTTGCTAAAGGATTTTTTTTGACGAATATGTTTTTTTTTGTTACGTACGAACATGTTGGATATTTAAATATATCAAATTGATTACGTGTCACATAATGTTTGCATATATGAAAATTATCTTGTAACAAAAAAAAAATGAAAATTAATTCTTCTCAAGATATTACGAACCTAAAGTACCTACCGAATCGAATTGAATACAAAAGAAAAAAATACGAAAGAGTTGACGAATTCTCTAGAATAACTAATGGACTTATGAGGTGGAGTAAACCGTGAATCTCACTATCTCACCACTTCTTTTTCTTTTATATAACTAATTCGATCGATGATTCTTTATCAAAAAAAACAAAAAAAGCTAATTCGATGGATATTTTAATCCGTTAATCGGTTTGATATTATATGATTCATTTTAAGGTTTACTTAATATACGTACTATAAGTTTTGTCTACTCTGTGTGCGACTTTTAGTTTTCATTTTTTGTTCTCCAGAAAGACGAATTGGTTATCATACTCAATTACTCATTATGGAATTAACAGTTTTTTTCAGAGAAAAGAAGGCAAATGAAATTATAGCTAGCTTAGTTTACATAATGTAAAATCTAAACTTGATGAGTAGACTATATAACCAGATCGGTATTAATTGAATCGAATGGGCTGGTTATACATTGACATCAAACCATTCAAAAAACATGGTTCTTCTTGACCTCAGCTCCGGCCAAAAACATGTTATATCAAACGTCGGTTTTTAATATGTAGTCTGTTTTTTGGTAAAATTGAAGACGTGATTTTAAAATATCGCCCACCGTGGGGTTCGAACCCACGACCACAAGGTTAAGAGCCTTGCGCTCTACCAACTGAGCTAGACGGGCTTGTTTATTTCATCATATTTGACCATATAAATTAGTAATGTAACGTTACGAACCGGTGATTATTTTACTATCACCACTATTCGAAAAGTACATGTTTTTTTATTTCCTTTGGTAGAACATAGATAATTTAGCTAAAGCAAAGCAAAGAACATGATTTATCTTTTATCTTTTTCTTTGAACATCGAACATGATTTTAGCTAAAAGCACAAAGTTGAGGACCGTTGACAAAATCAACTCTCTTCCTCAAAAGCAGTGACGGGGAAAGTACGTGACAATCCCGTCGGATTAGCAAAAGTAATCTTGGTTTTGTCTTGATCATTAACGAAGATCTCAGAGATAGTAACCCAAATCAGAAGCTCCTTGCTCTTGATTCCCGTGAGCGCACGCATCCGACGGTTCTCGACGAACGCAGTAACCTCCGAATCGTACGATACGTTCCGTCCGATGGCTTTAAACCGATGCTGAACCTTGTTATTCATCTTGATCCAGACGTAACCGGTCGATTTGTTGTGACCGATCTCTGTCATGTTGTCTAAAGGGAGAAGTCCTTTGGGTAGATTCATCGTCGACAAGATCTCGTCTGCTTTTTTCTTGCAGATAGATCCGCCATTGCAGATCTCAGCTCCTTCTCTTTGATCTGTTTTAGTTTCTTGCGACGACATTAGATTCGATGAGGTTTGTTTGTTTTGAGGACGTTTTTATATATAGGTCTCGAGTTTGTCAGATATTTAGAGGAAATGACTAAATTGGATTTGTTGAAGAGGAAAGAATCAAGCGTCAAGGTATGGGTAAAATAGGGATTTCCAAAAATAAGATGAGTAGGTTAAGCAAACTGATGTGCTTGCTGCGTAGGTGGGACGCATGCACTTCGTGTTCGTGTAATAATACATATTTTATTCTTATCGCAAAAAAACAAATTTCTTGTTTTTAAATTGTTATTTATAGAGATTGTGGTATAAGAACATGTTAAACTGTTTAATTTAGATTAACAAAACTGATTTTATCCTAATCTAACAAAAAGATGGTTAATAAATCAAGTACGAGGAGTCTAGAATTAGGTTAAAAAAAAATTTCTGGTCCAAAAAAAATTAGGTTAAACTTGTGTTATGAAGAAAGTAGAATTTGACTTTTTACCTTCAATAACCATCCGAAATGACATCTAAAAGTTATCACCGAGAAGCAAGTGTTTATAAATGTAATAACTTCCAAAAAGTGTCTGAGGGTGTATAAACCCTCTCAATAATAATGAATAATGCTATGAAAAGAGAAACTCTGTCATCAAAAAACAAAAAGACTTATGAGGATGTGATCATAAACCTAATCAACAAAAAATGGGCTTGTCTGAGACAGGCTTGGTCGAGCCATTGCTGATCTCTTTGAGCTTCTCCAAATCGCTTTTCTTCACCATAACCATCAAGTTATCATCGTTATCTTCACTCTTGACCTCTCCGAGTGAAATTTTCTTGATCACTCGCGCGGGAAGCTCATCTAGCTCACGCATCACATTCTCAATATCGATCACAAGTCTCTCCGCGAGTGTTCTTGAGAAATCTTCTCTGATGACCACTCGGAGAACAGTTATGTGTTGTGCGTTTGGAGGCATTGTGTATGCCGGCACAATCCATCCATACCTATCAATTAAAATATGAATAGTAGAGTTAAACTATATATATCGATTCATCAAACATATTTTAACTACTTGTTTTTATGACAACTAATTAACAAACCTGCGAAGCATTTCGGAGATTTCGAACTCAGTGTGAGAGCTGTTATCTTTCAACGAGAAAGCAACAAGTGGCACTCCCTCGTCTTTTGACACGATGTTGAACCTTCCTGTCTTCTCAAGTCCTTGCCTTAGGACGATCATGTTCTCTCTGCAGTTCTCCATCACATTTCTATAACCCTGTTTGATTAATACAATTTAAATTGTTGTGTTGTGTTTAATTAAATTAGCATAGTACATAAGCTACAATCGTGGATCCACTCACCTCATGTCCCAATCGGATAAGTTGGTAGTATTGAGCTATGACCTGACTCGAACCTGCGTTTATACAAAAACAAAAAATATCAATAAATACAGAAAAAAATGAGAGTAGTTATTTAGTACGTAGATGTAGTGACAGCATGTTTTGGCTACGTTTTTGAAGGAAAAAAAATGTGCTACATGATATAATGACTATTTATGTGTGATTTTACTAAGTAGAGTATTACCTTTGGAGAAATTGAGAGTGAAAGTGGGTTGGTCAGCACCAAGGTAGTTGATGTTGAAGATGAGTTCTTCAGGCAAATCCTCTTTGTTTCTCCAAACCACCCAACCAATACCTGCGTACACAAGTCCATACTTGTGACCACTCACATTGATACTCTTCACCAAAGGCAATCTAAAGTCCCATTCCAATTCTGGATATATAAACGGTGCAATGAATCCCCCGCTTGCTGCATCCACATGGATCGGTGTATCCCATCTATCAAAAGTATATGTATACAAGTTAGTTTTTTTATTAGTGTAAATCCATTGATGGTATGTTTATAAAGGTAATAAATTAATTAATTACCCGGTTTCTTTGTTCTTTTCAACCAAGAGATCGTTCAAGAGTTTAACATCTTCGAATTCTCCATTAAGAGTGGAACCAAGAATGGCCGCAACACATATAGTGTTCTCATCGACCATCTCAACAGCTTTTCCGGGTCCATCACATAGTATCCTTCACGTAGTTTCACTTCCTTAAGCTCAACCTCAAAGTACCTAGCGAATTTCTCCCAGCACACCTATAACATTTTGAACTCGTTATTAGAATTTGACTAAAAACCAAAAATTAAATTATTAGACTTAAACAATGGCGAGTGAGTGATTACTTGAACATTGGCTCCGGTGACAATGTTGGGTTTATCGAAAGGTTTGCCTTCGGCTTTACGCTTGTTCTGCCATTTTCGCTTGAAGGCCAAACCGGCCAACATTATGGCCTCCGATGATCCAACTGTTCCTACTCCGACGGCTGTCTCCGTCTCTCCTAACGGTGCATTGAATAGATGTGCAATCATGTTAACACATCGGTTCTGTTTTGTTAATAGTAAAAAAAAAGGATCGATTAGAGAAAACCCACAAGACTATAACAACGTGGCAGATCTTAAGAAAACAAAGTGGTGTTGATTACTATGCATAATATTTGTGAAAACAGGTATAATAACAAAGCATCTTATGAATAAAACTAATCAATAATGGTGTGAACAGAAAACCAAAAACATGCAATCAAAAATACACATACACATGTAATATCATAAAGTCGTTTAGAAAAAGAAATTCTCAAGATCTTGTAAACAATTATCTGCGTAGAATTGTGTTTAAACTCGATCTTGAAACGATCATGACTTACATAAATAAACTGTATGATTAAATTACCTGGAGTTCGGTGGTGACGGGGTACTCGTCCATGTCGACATAGTTCTTGTTAATAGAAGCCATGATGAGTTTATCGCACTCAGGCTCCATCCAAGTCGTCACAAAGGAGGCCAAGTTAAGCCTTGGATTGCCGTCAAGCATCAACTCGTCGTTGATGATCTGATACGCCGCTTCTTTCGGAATCGAGTTTTCCGGCATCCTAAACCTGATTTTTACGTTTTCAGCTCTCCATGTTAATCAAAAGTTACATAGAACATGGTATGCAAGATTTGCTATTATCTAGTGTTACTTTTATGTTACCTGGCAAGTGAAGTTCGGACGTATCGTGATGCGAACGTGGAGTGGACGGAGACGTCAGACTCCGAGGCGGCGTGAGAGAGCACCATCACGGCGATGAGAGAGAGAAATCACACGAAGTTGATGTTGAGAGAGAAACTGAGATCGATGAATGACGAAGAGAGACACCTTAGGGAGGGTTTTATATCATGGTAATAGTATAAACTTAAAGGTCGAATTTTGGAAATGTTCTTCTTTTTTTTTTTTGGAAAGTTTCTTCCCCAAGGCCTACAGTTTTTTAATTAGAAGAATCGTGCATTTATTTTCCTTGCAGAGTTGGATCCATGTTAATTACTTGGGTAATAATATATTTAGCAAATAAATGAATTTTAGAAATTTCCGTTTTCGGAAATTTTTTTCCAGTATGTTTTTTAAGACACTTTCTTCTCTAGGCGCACGCTCAAATAATCATCCACTAGTAGAGGACCCGCGCAAACGCGCGGTGTGACGTTGCGGTTTTGTGAATAAAATCTAAATTCAAAATCTGAGCCGACTCAAAAACCCTAATCAAAATTTTTAAAAATCCAAACCTTTTTAATATGTCTAAACCCGAAAACCCGAAATCCAAAAAATCCCGAAAACCCTGAACTGAAAAAAAAACTCCAAACTTTTTCACCCGAAACCCGAACCCGACCTAAAAACCCTAATAAAATTTTAAAATATCTAAACTTTTTTAATATGTCTAAATCCAAAAACCCGAAATCCAAAAAATCTGGAAAACCCTGAACTGAACCCAAAAAAACTCAAACCCAAACCGAACATAAATTTTCAAAAAAAAACCGAACAGAAATCCACAATTTGATTTAAATCATATGTATTTCTATTTCACTATTGGAAATTTTGCAAATATCATTCGAATTTGGTATTATCGATAGATTATGTTAATTTTTCTTTTTTGCCGATTTTTTAAGAGCTGAAAAACGGAAGTTTTCTAAACCATCGGTTTGTTTTAAGTTATTATTCTTGTATCCAAACAATTTTTTCCATTTATTCTTCTATCCAAATAGATTATTCTCTTATTCTTATATCCAAACAACTTTTTTTCCATTTATTCTTCTATCCAAATAGATGATTCTCTTATTCTTGTATCCAAACATTAGAATGTACTTCTCAATTAATAATATAAAGATTGTACTATTTTAGAGGTTTCGATTTTATGTTTTAAAATCGAAAAATTACATTTTAGAGTGATCATCCTTTTTGTTTGAGACTTTTATTTCCAGCCACTCATTTAAAAAAATATATATTATAGTACAGTGAAAACATTTATTCAACTAGAAATGGAAGTAAGACTAGTTTAATTTTGGGTCCGATTGGTGACGTTGTGAATAGTGGTGTGTTACAGAATTTTCAGTGGTACGAAAGATAGTTGTAAGAAAAACAGTGATACGAAATATAGCAGTACAAAAAGAGATAATACAAAACGATAGTACGTATTTAAAATCTGATTGGTAACATTGTGACAATACAAATAGTGTATTTTAAATGAAAATATTAATTATTTAAGTATTCAAAAATTAAGAATAGTGTCTAAAAAAGTATTTAAGTATTCAAAATACACATCATTTACCAAAAATTAAAGTTAAACAATACTTTTCTATATGTAACTCACATTTTTATACATGATGATTAAATTGTCAACTACTTATGTTATATTCATAAAAAAATTACCAAAAGTGGCATGTTTTATATGATACAAATACAAATACTACTCAATAGTTTATAACAGAAAACTATGCAAACTAAATTACTATCTTAGTTTTATGAAACAAAATTACTATCTTAAAATCTAACACATCATATTTTATTTTCAAAAATAAATTACCAACATATATAAAAAAAATAAAATATCAAATAAAATATTATTTTAGAATTAAGAGTGTGCAAGCAATTTTCAATTTTTTAATTAATATTGCCTGTTTTGTTATGATACTTCCTTATACCACAAATTAAAAAGGTATGCCATGACAACAGGAAAATTGTCCAATTAGTTTTTTTTCATCTTATAGTTTTTTTATTTATAAATAAACAGAAATACTTGTTGTTAAATCTAATATGAGTTATTTTTCTTCTTAAATATTACGTTATATATAAAATTTGATTAACCTAGTACATTTTATAGGAATTTTACTTTAAACATACACAACATGATTACTTGCTTAGACAATATATTTTATTTTTCATTTGAAAATGTACTATAAAATGAAATGAGAATTAATAATAATAGACAATATAAAAAAATTTCTATTCTTAAGAAACTTATAAAGATTAGCAATCACCTCCTTACTCAAGTGATTTTTAAATTATTGAGCAACAAAATTTTACCCCAAAGAAAAAAATCACAAGACATAAATAAAAAAAAACTTGTACTATCACTTTAGTTTTGTAATACTCTCCCAAAGTAGCATTACAACTATACCATCATTACAACATTTGTACTATCACTTTTTCTTGTAATACTGCATTTTTTTGTAATATCACTTTTGTAACACCATATGTGTAATGTCTCTTTGATTGGTAGCATTATGTGCATTACAATTTGTAATACTTGATTTTATGGTTACCAATCAAAGCCTTTGTTTGTATACTATGCGATATCTGATTGTGTCTTTTGTGTCAATCAATATTATACTATGCTTTTTGATAATCTATACTTTCTATGAAACTGTATAAATATACATAGCCTGGAGAAATACATTGCTCTACAAAAGAAGTCGAGTTTCAGTCACCATATTCATACTCAATTTTTATGAAAATAACAAATGATCACCATCCCAAATAACATCTAAATCATCAAGCTCAGCATTCTCCACACTGGTGATCTTTGTAAAGCTGCATCCTCCAAACTTTTCACCTACACAAAATCCAAAATTTTCTACTTGTTAGAAACTTTTTTCACAATGGAGAGTTTGTTCTTCATTTTGAGTATTTTCAGAACTTACCTGCCAGTCTTAGAAGCTCTTCTAAGGATGAAGGTAAGAGTATCAACTTCCCGTTATGTCGTTGTGATAAATCTTTCTGATCTTGATCTTGTGACAACATGTGAATAGTAACTCTCTTCTCTTTTCCTTTACATGGCTTGACTTGGACGCTGGAGCTGCAACATTCATCTGAATCGTTACCGTAACTTCTTTCTTTGGTTTCTCCATCCGATTTCCCTCTTTTTTCTCTCTCTGACTTCTGTTCTTGATCTTTTTTCATCTCGTAACTTAGTAAGAGATCATGTATGCTTTTCTTTCCTTGTTCTTCCGCAAGAGCCATTGGTTTCTTAATGTTAATCCTTCTTTCAAGTAGCTTCTTAACCATTTCAGTGTCTCCCTTGTGAATTGCATCCATCAGAGCCTGTTCTCCATTTTCGGAACTCGATTCTTGATTCTTAACATCTTTTCTTGATGAATCCCTCCACTCTTCCCATCCCATTCGTTGGAAAATTCTGTTTTCTTGATCAGTATTTGTATCATCTATTGCTATAGACTGTTGTCCTCTAAGTTTCTGCAAGATTTATAACGAAAAATATGAGTTTGTTTTTAACTATATAAAAGTCATTTTTAACTTTGAATTTTAAACTCACATACCATGAAGAGATTGTTCATTATAACTCGTCCATCTTCAGCATGAGCGTGCATGGCGCTCATCAGCGATGTTCTGCTAATCCGTAGTATCTGAGATAGCTCGGTTGTTCTTACTGTGAAAGGTTGTGGTCTATAGCATAAAACACCAATCTCTCCAAATGTGTCTCCAATCACTGCTTTCCCTTGAATCTGATCATGTCCATCAACATAGGCTGTGAAGTCCTGTAACAAATTACACAATGTTTACATTCCTATACGCCTTTAATTACATTTTTTTACTGTTAGCCAATATAAATTTCTTACCACTCCTCCTGAGACAAGAATGTAAAGATCCGTAGGAGATTCGTTTTGTAGGATTATATCTTCTTTAGGTGGGAAGTATTCAGCATCTATATCTGAAACCTTGAACAGCAAAAAAAAAAAAAAAAGAATGTAACTTCATGAAACTTTTTAGAGTTGTTTCATGAAAAAGTTAGAGAATTTTTTTTAATTTATTTATTTTTACCAGTTGAAAGAGGAAGTCACGAGAGACTCCTTGAAAGAGGTAAATGTTTTGAACAATTGGGAAGAAGAGGTAGTTTGCAATGCTTGAACGGATTGCTTTTGGCAAATTGTTTAAAGTTTCTTGCTGTTTCAAGCCCTCTGTTTTGAACTTTAAGCAAATGTGTGATAACATTTGGTCTTGTATGTCGTGTGGGAGTTGGTTTCTTGAAGAAAACTCTGAAGCAGCTCTCACTGTATCCCTCTGTTGAACAAGAATAATTAGTTTTTTTTTTACTAGTTTTAATAGAACATATTCAAGATTAATATGTAGTTTAAAGTTTAAAATTTTATGTCAAATATCTTCTTTTTATAAAAACTTCATGTCAAATATTTGAGTTGTAGAATTCTGAAAACAAATAAAACAAGAAAGCTTGTAAACTTACAAAGGTTCTGGTTCGGCTAGTCCAGTGAACGACTAGGTTGGTCATGTTTCCAATCAGGTAAGCCGTCAAACCGAGGTTGAACAACATGAAGAAAATGTCAAACAACATTTCTCTTGGATTCTCAGGATGCAAATCTCCATACCCTGTTGTAGTCAATGTAGTGATTGACCAGTAAAGAGCAGTCACGTATCTATTCCAAAGACTTGCTTCCTTGAAATTAGGGTACACAGCTCCAATCCATGTCTTTCTTGGATTAGGGTATCTATCTGCAATCAGGTAGTTGAAACATCCAGCACAGTGCACAGCGAACAAAGTGACCTGAGATCAACAAACACAAGTAAGTTTCCTACAGTTTTGTCATTGTGCGACGACAAAAAAAAATGTTTTCTTTTTTGCTCTGTTTTGACAAAAAGAGTTCCTTTTTGCTCTGTTTTGACCAAAAAAATGAATACTCTTTGCCCTGTTTTGGAACTTACCGAGATGAGTTTTGTGCATCGAATCCAGAAATAGTTGAAACGGATGTCTTTCTCGAGCCTGAAACAAGGTAGAGAGTAGAGATGAGTATGAAATTCTTACAACTAACTAATGGTCTCTTTTTCACTTGTTTTAAGCATTGAAACGAACCTTGCAAACAGCGAGCTAACTCGTCTTAGACGCCATAACCGAAGCATGCTAAGAATCCTGAATCCTAGTTCGCTCCCATTGTAGTTAAACAAGAGACTCAAAGGCTGAAATGGTGCTGTCGAACACACATCGAAAGCGAACCATGTTGAAAGGTACCTGAAAAATGTTAGATGTCATTCAGAATTTGATTCACTTTTATAAAGGTTTAAACTTTATTTTATTTTATTTCCTTACCTTATTGCTATCTTCTTAGGATTGTCAACTAGAAGATAAGAGTGGCTATCGAGATAGGCGACGAAGAAAGTGAGAACAATATCGATGGCGAAGAAGCCATTGATGATGTTGTCGATGATGAAAATCGCGTCCTTTTTGTAGGTGATGAATGCAAATTCAAACGGACAAATCCAAGCTGAGTAAATAACAAGAAACACTAGCCACATCTCCCATGCTCTGTTTTTAACATAAAACAGAGTATTTTCATTAAAAAGAAAAAGAAAATCAAGTTACTTAATATATTACATAGAGATAAGTTAAATTACCTATATTTTGTATTGAAAGGAGAGATTATGTGTTTCCTGAGCTTTGTTGATTGGTTAATTCTGGCTCCAAGAGATGGCAAAAGATCGGCGGAGAGGAAACTACTCTGTTTTACCGTGTCAATATTGTATTCCTCGACACAGAATCTTTCGAAGAAGTTTCTGGTACAAGAAATCGACATCTTTTCGATGTTTTGAATAAGAAAATGGATGTTTTGCAGGTTCAAGGCTCTCTTCTTAGAGCAAGGTAGTTATAAATAATGATGAAGCTTGTGACAAGTGACACGAGAAAGTTCTCTTTTCTTCTTCTGTTAGAACATTTTAGGCCAAGTTTGCCAACTTGCTCTGACCCATTTGCTTATCTTTTTTTTTCTGAGAAAAAAATAAATGGTTTTATGCAGAGTGTGCAAAATGGTTTTGAAGCAACAATGGTGACCAAGAAGCGGAAAACACGGAAGAGAGTAGTGTGTGAGATTAAGATCTTAAGAAATGAGACAAAATTTAAGTGGCAAACAATGAGTTTTGGTGGAAGAAATGCTCATGGTTAGTTTCTTTTGATAAGAAACAGATTTGAAATCCAACATGAAAGAAGAAGAAGAGGAAGAAGTAGAAGAGTAGACGCAATCTGGTTATGGTGATTTCTACTTGATGAGATTTATGACTATCTTGTGAGTTCCATTTTCTCAGCATTTGAAGGTGGGAGTGATATATAGCCATACACACATATAGAAGGAAAGTACGTTTGGTGTTTGGTGTTGTGTGTTAATGGAAGGACAAAAATGGGCATGAAAATAATGGTGTGTTCATTTCAGGAATCAAGAAATGGGCCAACCAAAATAAAGAAAGAAAATGGCATTTTGACAGAATATTTTAGGGGCCAGAGTATATAATTTTTCTTTCAGAATTACAAAATGATTTTTTCTTCTACTATTCTTTAAGGGTTTTGTACAAATTAACCCTTCAACTAAATTAAATTTGCAAATCAAACTCTGAAGTTTTTTCTGTGCAAATCAAACTAGTCAAGTGAAAAGTCACCCGCTAAACTAACCTCCCCTATATCGTCGATGTCATCCTAACGTTGACGGTCAAAAAAACTAACAAATATTAAAACGCACCGTTTTGAGATTGGAAAACAGGACGATGTTTGCAATAACTTTACAAAAACTACATACTGTTTTACTAATTAAAAAAAAATCTGAAGAAAAAAAAATGGCGTTACTGTTCTTCTTCCTCTTCTTCTCTCATCTCTCCTTCTATGATTCTCTCCTACTCTAATTCTCTTCTTCGGTGGTTTTTTACTATGAAACCAGTGGAAATAAAGGTTTTGTATCTATATCAAGAGAACAAGAGTCAATCACCGAATTAGCTACCTCAATTTGCTCTTGCAAGACCAGATCGGCACAAACAGAGAACAATCAATTCTAATTAGTGTTGGAAATGCAGGTTTTATAATGGGTCAAGAGGGATTTTCTAATTTCATTAACACCAGAGCAAGTAATTGGAGTTTTGAGGAAGAGATTGGCGGTTTGATATCATTGAGAAGAGTTTTGAATTCCAATCTTTTGAGGAAAAGATTACAATTTCCATTGAAGCTCAAAGTTTAAAACTAGAAATATAAATAAAGAAGAAAAACGGGATAATGTTTGCAGATTTTGTTCCAAATCGATTTTTTTACTCAAACCCTAAGTTTTGCCCCAAATCGATTTTTGCAGAAACAACACAAATTTTTAAAGGCCAAAACGACATGTTTTATGTCAACGTTTGAACTTGACGACAACCACACGGAGTGCTTATTTAGCGGGTGACTTTTGACATGGTTGGTTTGATTTGCACAGAAAAAAGTTCAGGGTTTGATTTGCAAATTTAATTTAGTTGGAGGGTTAATTTGCACAAAACCCATTCTTTAAAGTATCTCTTCCCTTTTTTTTGATTTTTTTTTTCGTTTACTCAAAATCAATCATTAATTTACAAAATAGACGTTTACGGTTTTCATCACATTAAGAAAACTCTTCAACAAAAAATAAAGGTTTTCATCACATTTTATGCATGAGGGTGAGAAACTCAGATTCTTTCAATGGAGATTATAGAAACCACGTGGACTAATTGTAGGTGTCCACGTTGTCAGACAGAATCTAGCTCTTACTCGGACCATTCTCTTTTCACTCGGACCAAACTCGCTCGCACGAGTTACGTCTTTGAGATTTGTTGTCTGTTTTTGATTTTACTTACTTAGGAGAAAACGCAAACGAACACAAAATGAGATATGTATTAGTCTTAACAATTGATTACTCTCCTTCATGTTTTTTTTTTCAGTCTTTCTTGAATTTTTTTTTCCTTGGTTTTTTCTTAGGCTCTGATCTTATTTCTATTAATTAAATTTTAACTAGTAATGATTAAATTCGTCTGTCTGAAAAAAAAAAATATATATATGTGAATAAAGTTACAAAAGGGTCTTTAGGAAAAAAATCATGGTTCATAATAAAACACATTCGTTCACGAATATTGAGTTGTTTTGGTAATTCTAATTATTTGACTAAACTTTCATTTTCGATCGCTAGAATAGAATGCCAAGTATAAATTCTTCAAACCTTTTCGCGAAATTTGTTTTAATAAATCATGCAAAACCTTTTTGGTTTATGCGTCGATTTGAGCCCGTTCGAATGCATCTTTCGTGATTCCTTGTTGAATTTTTGTTTGGTGCCTTTTCTGTGGTGCTAATTTCAATTAACGTTGTTACTTAATATACTAGCTAGTAACCATATCATAATAGAAAAACTAGAAAACGTGAGAGATTAGTAATAAACAAAATTAATATCATGAATTAAAAGGGACTAATAAATCTTTAACATAGTTAGTTTGCTACTTGCTGTCTTTCTAGTGTAAGTGGGGTCGTTAATGCTAACGGCTTAAATTTAAGTCGGTTACTGTCACATGATAAGAGTGATGTAGGCTCCCAAAAATTGGTCGTTATTTTTTCTAAAAGATTTTGTTGTAGGCCATATGTTTTCCAATTGCTTTCACTAAACCGGTTTTATAATTCTTGAAACAAATTTGATAATTGGAGCTGATTTTTCATTCCCTCCAATGAAAACTATCATAGAGTTCGACTAAATTAATTTTTGAGGTCTTAAATAAAAAAAAATCTGGTCGGTATATCATACTATATGTTATCTAGGATTGGCTTTTGAAAAACGATCATGATGAACCAACCATATTGGCCTCCGGTTAGTATAAGACTGGCGTATTTGACTAAAGCGGTTTAATAACTTTTTCTTTAAGTTTTGATGGTTTATGTAAAAACATACACATATTAGATTTAGACTAAAACATATGGGTCTGTTTTCGATTGGTCCTTTTAGAAACGACCAGATTGAACCATGCTCGTCTGTTCCACTACAAAAATAATAAAATTTGTTTTCTAGAAAGTCCTGATTTTTTTTCTCGGGATTTAGTACCCGACATATATTGCGATTTAATTACGGGTCCAATACTAGATAACAGATAGAGACATTTTCCAGTAAATCTTCCATGAAATTTGAAGTCAACTATTTGTATTGTATTCTAAACCCCTTCTCATCATGATCATTAGACTATGAGGCCTTTAACGTCTATATAAATATGATCAAATGTGATTATGCCAGGGTTAAAGTTCTGTCACGATCAGGATTCAAACATACATGTCGTTGATTATATAAAAACGTCTATTAGTTAAGTGTATATAGCCATTATTGATGGAATATCCCATGTTGATTATCTTTTGTTTCATGTGATTAAAGAAAAAAGAAAAAGCTGATTTAACACAAATAAAAACAAGATAGATCTTCCATAATTTCAACGAAACAACATGAGAAACGAGTATTAGACACGCTGCTTGTGCTTCTGTTTCATGCAATGTCGGCATAATCCATCTGTCTGAGATTGTCGTCTCAAATTTTAGGCTTAAATATGAGCCTATTGAATTTTCGAAACACTAAACATGGTTCACACAAACAATGTTTCCTCCTAAATTACTGGTTTTGTAGATCACCAAAGAGTTTTACAAAATTATGGAAGAATAACTAGATAGTTAGTATATCAAACTCTTTACGATTATTTCATAAACTACTTCTTCAACTGAACATGACATTTTATAGTTTGGCAAAACATTTAGGTTTTAAAACATGTGGCTAATTAGATTCAATAATTTGGTAGGTTATGTAGTTAAAGACGGGTAGGGTCAAAACCGTAAGGAAACTCCTCGTGATTGTCCTACAACGTGGGAAACTTTTTGCTACATATAAAGCAAAATTAAATCATTCACACATCTTTTGTTTTTTTGTTGGGTAGGTATATATAGCCTGTGAATTAAGAATGGTTTAAGCTTTTTAAGACTCTCTTTTTATAGGAACCACACGACCAGAAGTTCTGTTAGTATGCTCTTTTATTTCCTTCCCCATAATTAGGTGCTTTAATTTCCTTCCGACAAAATTATAAAATAGTAAGTATCATTTATTTTAAAAACTAGGGGTGAGCCGCGCTTCGCGCAGGAATTTATATTGTTACATTAATTTTATTGTTTTTGTAAATATAATTTATTATCTGGTTTATTATTGTTTAAAAATATACATATAATAATTAAATATAATTAGGGTTAGGAAAAATTCTTGTCAATTTTGTCCCATCTTGTCCTATTTCGTTCATTTTCATCATGTCTATCTTTTCATCTGTCCGTCATGTCTGTCCTGTCCCGTCCAATCTCATCATATCTCATTATGTTCTTTTCCATTTTGTTATGTCTTATCACGTTCTTTCTGTTTCTTCTCGTCCCATTTCCTATATATAATTAGGGGTAGGCACAATTCCTATCTAGTTCCATCTTGTTCCATTCCGTTCATTTTTATCTTGTCCCGTTCTTTCCCATACCATTCATCATGTCCGCCCCGTCCAGACTCATCCTATCCTATTATGTTTCTTTCCGTTTTGTCCTCTCTATGTCCCGTCCAAAAATATAATTAGGGGTATGCAAAAGTCCCCTCCCGTTATTTCATGTCTCATAATGTCTCTTTTCATCTTGTCTCGTCTAATCTCGTCCCATTACGTTTCTTTTCATCCCGTCTTATCCAACATGTCTGTTTTGTCACGTCCAATCCCATCATATCTTATTTCGTTCCTTTCCGTCTTGTCCTGTCTCTTCATGTTTCTT